AAAAAAAATGCTAAAGAGTATTTAATTTTTAACAAAACATTTTTGATGATTTTTAGGATCCTCTTGTAACTTTTCAAATTGCTACAAATAGTAATGCGTACTAAGGTAAGCAATCTGACGTCATACTGAAATAGCCTGCTGCTGGGGGCTTCAGTACATACATCGACTGACAAATAGCCTGACTTGCAGTGGAGTGCTGCTACATCGATTGAGGGTTTGGGATGGGGCAGCAATCGTTTCATTCATCATTCTTCGTTTTTTTTCTTCTTTTTCTAAAAAAGCCATATGGGTTAAGGTAAGCAAAAAAAGTGAGCAAATGCTTATAAAAATAAGCTTTAGTAAGTGTATGTAAATCAACTTTTTAATTTACAACAGTCGATAAAAACACTATACATTATATGTAGAATTCCCAGAATTCTGGCTTTTACAAAGGAAAACAGTAAAAAAAATTATTATTACAGGTTTGTAATATCCGTAAAATTGTAATTTCCGTAAAATCCAGATTTTTGGCAACCCTAATTATTTTGAATTAAATTTTATATTCAAAAATAATATTTAAGTTCTTAAATACTTTAGTATTTTAAAACTAAAAATTTTAAAATACTAAAAACTTTTTTACATACGTATTTGTATTATTGTTCATCATTTTTTATATTATAATTTTTATCATTACATTAATTTAAAAGTTAAACAACTAATTTAAATTGATAGCTTTTAAATTAAAGTTAAATGAAAATTTTCGAAATTTTAATAACTTTTAATTGAAAAACTTGGTTGGCTCGCCGATTTCCGTCAAATATAACTACTTTAATTTAAATAAGTAACCTTTAAGGGGCAGATTGAGATTCTTTCACCGCACAAGGGCAGGAACTAAATTTAATTGGCATATTTAAATATCTAGTAAACTAGCTATTTAAATAAAAATATATATTTAAATACAAAAACTGATTTTTGTTTTCAATTTACAAATATACATTAAATATCTACGTAAATTTTGTATTTGTAAATTAAAAAAAAAAATTTTTGTATTTACTGTAAATATTGGTTAATAAATAATAATATAATATTACTTGATCATCTTCTTTTATGTTTTACACAATTAAAAAATAGATAATACGTTTCATTGCAAGTTTTATTTTTGATTTTTTTGCTGTTATTTACAGTTTACTTTACCAGCTAATTTATTTTACTAAAATTATTAATAAATCTTTTATTATAAAAATGTTATTAACTTATTTTATATTATAACACTTATTAATATGCAAGTTTCTATGCGTGCCATCAGGCTGGCTAACACCCTGTATATATATATATATATATATACATATATATATATATATATATATATATATATATATATATATATATATATATATATATATATATATATATATATATATATATATATATATTTAAAATATATATATATATATTTAAAATATATATATATATATTTTTGAGATTATCAAATCATTTCTTTCTAACCGGTTTATTAAAGTCATCCTTGAAGGCCAACACTCTTCTTTATTTCCAGTAACTTCTGGGGTTCCTCAAGGTTTCATCCTGGGCCCTGTTTTGTTTCTTATCTACATAAACAATCTTCCTGACAATCTTTCATCTAAAGTAGCTCTTTTAGCTGATGACTCAACTTTATACTCCTGTCTTGACAAAAAGTCTTCTCTTTTCAATCGCCTAGAACAAGCAGCTGATCTTGAATCTGATCTCACTTCAGTAATAGATTGGGGTTCACAGTGGCTTGTGAATTTCAACTCTAAAAAAACCCAATTGCTTACTGCAAACAACTACCGTAATATGGTCAACATTCCTATATTAATGAATGGCAATCCTCTTACTGAGTCCTCCTCTTTACGTCTTCTTGGATTATCGCACAATAAAGAGGTTGCTCCTCTTTATCGTGCTCGCCATTCTCTTACTTCTGATTCCACTTTCTACCTCTACAAATCTCTTATTCGTCCCTGTATGGAATACTGTTGTCATATTTAGGCTGGTTCTTCTAACGATTCACTTTCTCTTCTTGACAAGGTCCAAAAACGCATTGTAAATGTTGTTGGACCTGGACTATCTGCTAAGCTTGAACCTCTTTCCCATCGTCGTAAAGTTGTATCTCTTCCTCTTTTCTACAGATACTATCATGGTCACTGCTCAAAGGAGTTATCGTCTCTAGTTCCATCAACTAAAATTAATTCTTGTTTTACTCGTCATTCAGCTAAGTCTCATTCGTTTACTGTATCTGTCCCTGCATGCTCTAAAAACTTTTATTCATCTAGTTTTTTTCCCCGCACTTCAATCCTTTGGAACTCTCTCCCATCTTCATGTTTTCCTGACTCATACAACCTTCAACTTTTCAAGTCTTCTGTCAACCGTTTCCTTGCTCTATAACTCTGTTCTTTTTTTTCCTAGTAACTCCCAACTTAATAGTGGTTGTTTGCAGCCTTGTTGGGAGTGAATGCAAATAAATTAAAATATATATATATATATATATATATATATATATATATATATATATATATATATATATATATATATATTATATATATATATATATATATACATATATATATCAGGCTTGATCGGGAAGCGGGTGCGATCGCACTCGATAATTGACCACAAAAATAATATTTAGTTGCAAAAAACCGGCAAAATGTTTTAGTCATTTTGAGAACATTTCAAAAATAAACAAAAAAGCGCAGTAAGATTAACTGGACCGATGAGAGACAGTTAAAAAAAGAAAAATAGCTTTTAACGTGAAAAACTTTAAGCAAAATAAATACGATTAGAGCAATTATTTTTGAAACGTCGTTCTTTTATAATATTTTTTATAAAATTAAGCGATATTTTCTATATAAAGAAACTATAAAGAAACAAATGCTTTTATTTTTATACTTATGTCTTATTTCCAGTTACAGATCGTGGAGGTGGGGTGGGGGTAGTAGGGCTAAAGCCCCGGGACTCACAATGCCAGGGGAAATAGTCAAGAGAACCATTTGGTATTTTTTGTAGTCATTTTTAAGCAGGGGCACATAAAAAAGGCCGCCAAGATTCAACCAATAAAACTAATGCTAGATGATTTATTTATAAATAAAAAAGTTTTTTCAATAACTGTTTTATGCTTCGCGTAGTTTAAAAAGTTTAACACATTTTAAATAATTCTTCTTAGTAAGATAAACAAATGAAATAATTAAATCATTGAGTTACTGTAGAAATTCAATTAACTAGATAGAAAAAAACGTTAAACTACTTTGTGAGGAGGAAGTGGAACTGCTTCACAATAGCGCTGATGATGTTTAGTGAGTGGGCTTTATAATTTTAATTAGTATTTAAAACAGAAAAAAGTAGCTTTAGGCATAACGAGTTTGTAAGAATGGCTGAAGCAAAAATAATTGAAGTTAGTAAACCAATTTCTAAGAACTTAAAAACTTTTCTTTCTTGGGGGAAAGAATCAGTTATGGGGTACACTAAGGAAAATGGATTAGTGGTTAAAATTATTTGTATTAACTTTGACGATTATTAATAATTTAATTGAAAACGCAGTTATTATTAAAAGTATTTTTATTTACAAAATCAATCGCACAAATTGCTTTAAAAGATTACATTTGAATAAAATACACATACATAAGATTACATAGATAAAAATACATTACATACATAAAAAATACATCCCTTATATATATAAAATAAGAATATACTAATAAAATCTATAATGTATTTACAAAACGTTGACAAGTTAAAAAATATAAATTTAAAACATTTATTATTGTAAACAAATAATGTTACAATTAAAATAATAGTTCGTTTGATAGTATATTCTTAAAATAATTTATGCTAGAAATCTCACGAAAACGTAACAAAGTTCAAAAAATACAATTTTTAAAAATATTTCAACAGAATACTCAGGACATTCGGTTATTATTTTTTGAATACTCTATAAATTTTAATTAGTATATTTTCAACCAATAGAATTAGTTGTTCGTAGATTTGGCGGGTTTTTTGTGTTTGCGAATATTCTTTTTTTATTTTTCCACACTAAGATGTTTAAGAACATTCAAATTTATGAATGTTTCCATGTAAGTCCGTAAAACAAAACATTTTAAAATTTACGACGATAAAATGAACTTATTATTTTGCGGACAAACAAGGAAACTTACATAAACTTAAATGTTCTCAAAACGACTAAAAAATCTGGCCGGTTTTTTGCAACTAAATATTATTTCCGTGGTCAGTTATCGAGTGCAATCGCACCCGCTTCCCGACCAAGCCTGAAACTTATTTTCGTGTCTGCATTTAGAAATCGATTTTTTGTTTAATAAACTCAAAACCGCAGTATGTATAAATATATATATATATATATATATATATATATATATATATATATATATATATATATATATACATATATATATATATATATATATATATATATATATATTTATATATTTATTATATATATATATATATATATATATATATATATATATATATATATATATATATATATATATATATATATATATATATATATATATATATATATATATATATATATATATATATATATATATATATATATATATTCATATACAAGATTTGAGAATTTAAGCCCATATAGCCCATATAAAATGCTCCACATTGATTTTTATATAGTTGATAAGATTAGCATCTTAGTTAAAGGCCTTAAAAGTCTTTATGGTACCCGTGGGTCCTCTTATACACATAAATACTAAAAAATAAGGGAGAAGGAATTTTATATGGCTTGAAAAAGCAGGCAAAATATTTGACACATCAAATAAAAGTACTTGATAGAATCAAAATTAGATAATTTTTACCTTTGTAACATGTTGAATATAGTTAAACTTTATACCGCATGCGTATGTTAAATTACGAAGAAAAAATAAAGAAATTAATAATAATAAAGCAAATGGGTTTAAAATATTGCTTTAGATAAAAAATACAATTGAGATAAGTTTGAAAAAAATTCTTACTTTTTTCTCTGAGCAGCATCAATATCAGGGTCAGTCTTCATGGAAAAATATGACAAAATTTTTTGTTGATCTATCTAAAAGAAGCGTAATACATATAATTAGTCAGGGGCTATTCTAGGAAAAAAACTTGGGCAAGGCACCCCCCTCCCCTCTGAGAGAAATTCAGCGAAAAATTGACATTTTTTTGCAAAAATGTAAAATAAAAAAAAAGTCCTCAAATTTTAATTTAAGTGGTGCCCAAATACAGATGACGCTGTCGAAAACAGCCTAAAATAGCTCCTGTTAGTAAAAAATAACTATTCATAAATAATGAGTAAATAAATAAAAATATTCTTTTTATATAAAATTTTATGTTCTCAGAGCTTTTAACAGTTTATGTATAAAAACTGTTGATAAAGAATTTTAAAAATTTTAACTTTCAAAATATTCTAATCTGATTTGTTTTAGTGTATACATCATTACATCACAGTTTTAAAAAATGAAGTGTATATTGATCCTCACAATTATCTCAAAAATACATTTCAAGGTATTCTAAGAACATATCTTTTTTTTTTTAAATATTAATTCACCTCCCTAAGGCCAAGAAGACTACTATTGTAGAGGATGCTACTTTAGTTGTGGTAACAACCCGCTCACCTCAAATCCTCACTTATGAGGTGAGCGCTCTACCACTACACCACTGTCGCACATATTTTTAGTTGAATTGCAAAGATTGCTGAAACTAAAAAGTTATTTTATAATAATGATAATAATAATAAAAAACATTTATTAAAACAAAATTACTTTTGGAAAAAACATATTAAAATCATATAGATTACATAATGTTTATACAATCTATATGATTTTAATATGTTGCTGCCAAAAGTAATAAATTTCGTTTTAATAAATGTTTTTTATTATTATAACAATTATGTCAAACCGATAGATTATATCAATGAATACGGCAAATCAAAAACAATTGTATTTATGTATAAAAGAAGGGAATTAAATGTTATCATTTACAATAAATAAACATAATAATAAAAATTGATAAACAAGAATAATAAACTGAATAAAATTTTTTTTTAATGATTTAACAACTTTTTTTAAAAACTTACCACAGAAAGAATTTCTTTACACAAACTAATAATTTCCAATAGATTTGATTCTCGGTTCTTTCTTTTAGGAAGTAAAAATAATATATATATATATATATATATATATATATAAACATATATATATATATATATAAACATATATATATATATATATATATATATATATATATATATATATATATATATATATATATATATATATATATATATATATATATATATATATATATACATATATATATAAACATATGTATAAACATATATATATATATATATATATATATATATATATATATATATATATATATATATATATATATATTTTCTTTTAGGTTCTTTCTTTTAGGAAAATGTATTTAAGAAAGAACCTAAAAGTAAATGTATGTATATACATTTTCTTTTATGTTCTTTCTTTTAGGAAGTAAAAATAATATCAATTTGTATGTGTGTGTGTGTGTGTGTGTATATATATATATATATATATATATATATATATATATATATATATATATATATATATAAACATATATATATATATATATATATATATATATATATATATATATATACATATATATATATATATATATATATATATATATATACATATATATATATATATATATATAAACATATGTATAAACATATATATATATATATATATAAAATAATATCAATTTGTATGTGTGTGTGTGTGTGTGTGTGTGTATATATATATATATATATATATATAAACATATATATATATAAACATATATATATATATATACATATATATATATATATATATATATATATATATATAAACATATATATATATAAACATATATATATATAAACATATATATATATATATATATATATATATATATATATATATATACATATATATATATATACATATATATATATATATATATATATATATATATATATATATATATATATATATATATATATATATATATATATATATATATATATATATATATATATATACTCCATAATAAATAGAAAACAAAGATAGACACAAAAATTTTATTAAAAATTTGTTTAATCTTAGATTGTTTACAACAAATATATCTATCAAATTACAACAAATTTATCTAACAAAATTATCAACAAATAAAATCCTATGCATCAAAATTCACCAACAAAACTTGTGATCAAATAAATTTATTCTTAAGAGAAATAGATATATGCTCCTAGGTACAAGCAATCTATATGGTACAAGATACAAGAGTTGTTGGCCTCATAAAAAACATCATCTATTAATGGATTGAGAAGAAACTTAACCAACCATGCATTAAGTACTTAAGTAGCAAACAATATAATATATAAGAACCTTTAGACAAAAATTTCTTTAGGATTTTAAAACAATATAAGATAGAAGCAGCAAAACTTTACTTTAGGCCATCAAAAAGATTTTTCAGATTATAACATGCCATGGAAACACTCTTTAAGAATCAAAGTAGGATTACAAAAATAAAACTATGAAGTTCTAATTAATACTGAGAAGTACAACTCAGAACTTTATAGTTTTCAAATAGAGTGGGGTGGCCTTGGTACAAGAGGGCCCTAGGTACATGACCTTTCCCTATAAATATATATATATATATTTTTACTTTACAAATCTCTACTTAAAATAATGAACTGTACAATTTTATCTATTGTTACACAATAAACAAAAGTTTATTGAAAAAAAAAGTAAAACTACAGGTAAAAATAAATGTGTTGAAAAGACAACAAAGCTCCCAATAATTTAGTGGTTATCAAATTGTGTGTCAATATCAAACGGTATGTGTGAGCAAAGAATTTTTCGAGGAATCTAATAATTCAATATAAAAACAAATATTGAAACAACTTAAGTTAATCACATCAATACCGTTTGTAAAATGATGTGTAAGGCATTTTAGTGGAAACTATGAATCTATTGTTTGATGCATGTATAGTGCTTTATACATGAAGTATAAACTGGAGCACTATACATTACCTGGCTAATAGCATAAAACTTGTAGACTTGTAAAGGTTGGGCTGAGTGTGTCTTATTTGCTTAATGTGCTTGAGTAAAAAATGTTTAAATGTAGGAGCACCTGAATTAATTAATGACTTTTTGAGCTTTTGAGTCTTATTCCATTAGCCACAGACCCAAGTGTAAACCTAAGCACCCATACCTAAATGCCATCAACAAAGGATTGAGATAACACACCTAAAGCAGGAACTAACATAGGTCAGGATGTTGTCAGAATATTTTTTAAGAATGGTATTAGGAACATTGTTCTTGAGGTAGATGTTTATTGAAAATAAACAGAATGAACTAGATTACACATTAAAAATTACCCTGAAGTATTCCAGCTTCAATATATTTCCAATCAGTGGTTTGATTATTTTTACACATTGGTGATGACTAACTTTAGTAGAAACATGATCAACAAGAACAAATGTATTTGTAAAATCAAATAATATCGAAAAAATTATTATTTTTTTATCTTTAGCATAACTCCATTCCTCTATAAATAAAATTATAGCATCCAATGTACTAAAGCCTGGAAGGAAACCCAACTGTTTTTTGTGTTGAAAACTAACTGCTTTCTATGAGGAACTTAAAAGGATATAGAGTGATGGGGCTATTTCTATGCTAGCAAATTTGCATAAAATATAGGGAAAGATCATTTAATCCTGATAATCCTGTCTTTAGTTTGCTGAGTTGCCTGAAGTTGTTATTAGGAGTAAAAATAGAGGCAGTAGGTCAAGTTGTTTCCTAATGTTTTAGACACTTTTGAAATGATCATTCAATAGATTTGCTAATGTCTCAAAGGCAAAATTAGTTATTCTTCCTTCATTGACAAGCCTGATTACTTAAGAAAAGTCCAGTTTCTGGAGCAAAAGCACTAGTTGTAGATACGTTTTATTTTGGAAATTAGTTTGGTAACTTGATTCAGAAGTACTTTCCACTCAGTATACCAAATAAAAAAAAAGTTGCTGATGTTCTTTTATAACATTCTGAATAAGTGAGACATAGGTGATATCATTCAAGCCTTACAGATGACAAGTATTGTTGTTCTTAGTGGTTGTTAAATGTCTCAAGCAGACAGTATAACATGATAAAAGCTGTGTAAGCGATTTGCATTTCATATGATGAATATTTCAAGATTGGTACTCGTATTAATGCTCTCAGCCAATAATCTTCTCAACCAATAATCAACAGCCAATAATCTTCTTCTCAACCAATAATCAACAGCCAATAATCTTCTTCTCAACCAATAATCAACAGCCAATAATCTTCTCAACCAATAATCAACAGCCAATAATCTTCTTCTCAACCAATAATCAACCTTTCCGAAAGCTGGGTGAGTGCTTTTGTAAAAATTGAGTGGAGACAAACAAACTAGAACAAGGTGATCTGAATTATTAAAACTGGGAAAGTTATATAAAGCATTTTAGGGCATCAGATAAAGAGATGTCAGGAGTAGCTGATCTCTATTTAGGTTATACATGAAGTTAAATAAGTTGGTAAGAATGGCAAATAAAGTCAATAGGGCAGCTATTTAGATCTCCTGTGAGAACTATAAATGGTTTGTTGCTGAGAGCTGTAAGTGGATTGTGCAGCGAGGTATTGGTAGTTTCATGAGTTGTGCAAGTTGATATGATACATAATTTTAAGCACTTTAGAACAAAAGTGGATTATAAGCACTAGACATGTGTACTTTTTAAAATTTTTATGTCAAATGACTCAGTTTGCAAGCAGTACCTTTTAATTTTAAGTTAAGACAAAAAAGTAAAGTTAAAGAAACTAAAATTATAATGGGTGAGACCTAGTACTGTTAAAACCACTGTGATGCAGTGTTACACTGCTAATTGGGTAATAAGTTCAAAATAAAAAAAAAAAGTTACAAAATAACTCTATAATAATAAGTTATAAAAGCATATATAATAAAAATTTATAAAAATACAAAAAAATAAAAACTTAATGAAGATCTTAACAAAACTTTGAATTCAATTAGAACTGATTATCAAAGCTTGTAAATAGTATTTTGAGATGTTGAGAAGCAGTTATAAAAACAAGGAGGGGGGGGAGGGGGGAAGTGTAATTCTTTTTATTGGATGTAACAAAAATTAAAAAGCTCTATTTTTAGTTTAAAGTGAAAATTCTGTTTTTTAATATTAGGTATAATTCACAATTAATTAAGTTTTAATTCTGAAAATTCATCAAATAATTACAATAAAATACAAAAATTAAATTACAAAAAGACAACTAAACTTAAAAAAAGTGTTTGAATTGAAAATTATAAACAATATGTAACTTACGACTGATCTAAACTGTTTAGAAATGCATTCTTTGAAGATAAACATGTATTATTGCAAGTTACAACTTTACTAAGATTTTCAACAATAGTTTTCTGTAACAAAGAATCATTTAACCTAAAACATTGAATTTAGTAAACATAAAATAGAAATCTTGCAAACCTTAAGCAAAATAGCCTCTTTGAGCAACAAATCGAACAAAATATAAAAAAACAAAATGTTACTATAATGCATTATAAATAGAATAAACTCTTTTGTAAAACGCACTTTGCAATCCATATACATTGAAAATCTTCATTTGCTTCTTCATACTCTTTTTCAATCTTTATAAAACAATTTTATAAAACAATTTTTTAAAATAATTTTATAAAACATTTTATAAAATAATTTTGACTAATTTTAAGATAAAAATAAGGCAAAAAAGAAGGATTGGAAACTTCTATTGCTAACTATAATATATATTTTTAACTATAATACTATTAATATATTATAATTAAATATAATATACTATACTAATATATACTATAATTAAAAAATAGTTAAATAATATACTAATTATACTATAATTAAAAAATAGTTAAATAAGTGAAACCTCTTTTTTCACATTTTCTTCTTTACATTTGCTTTTCTCTGGTACCATTACACTAATAGGGTAAGTAACCTAGGTAACCAAAAGTAAATTTATATATTAAGTGTAATTGTAGATAATTAATAATCACCAAACAGTATAATATAAAAACAAATTTTAAAATAATTTCTGAAATGAACAAACCACTTTTTTGACAGCAGGATCTTTTGAATAAGATACTGTTCCAGTTAAGTAATGTCCAAGTTTCATACTCTCAGAATATCTTGAAAAAAATATATTTAACATAAAAACCATTTTATCATTAAGATTAACCTATTGATTCATTATTTGAATTATTAAATTCAAATAATGAATCAATTATTAAATTCATTATTTGAATAATTTTTAATTAATGTAATCAATAGGTTTAAACAATGAATAATTATTAAATTCGTTATTTAAATCTATTGATTACGTTAATTAAAAAATTAAAAAGTGCGTTGATTATAAATATCATTTATTCACTTTTCAGTAGAGAGAGCACAGATATAAACAGGTATGTTAGAATGACGCTTGAGTTGTATTGGTGCAAATACAGCTGGATTTTCTTTTGTTCCAAACTTTTTGCGACTTGAAAAAAATCCCAACTCAATTGGCACTGAAAGTTGAATCTTAAGATTCAGCACCATTTTTTTGAGATCTTCCAACATTTTCATTGAGTTATTACGAACCTAGCAGAAAGTAAAAGGAAAATTATAAAAAGCCTCAACATATTTTCAATAATATTTTTCATAACTTTCAATTTATTAAAGAAAAAAACCTGGTAATGGAGATTATAATTGCCTTTTGGTAGATTAACTTGATAGTTATTCTAAACATAACAAAATCTAGATTAGAAAAAAGCAATTAAAAAAAAGAAAGATTGGAAACTTTAATAACTCTTTTGTAACGCCATTAAACTAAAAATTAATCTTAATTACTGACATTTTTAGGTTATTATTAAAAAATTTAACAAATAGTTATTACCTTGCTTAAATGAGCAACCATTTAAATGTGTTTTAAACCCTTGAAATTCACTGCTTTTCAATAAAAATCTATTCTCTGTCTACACTTACTTTTCTTCCAATATGCTACAAGTTATAGAATGAATTTTTCTTTTTTTTTAATTTTCTGATTAAAAAATTTTAAACAACATACCTTTAAGCTCCCAGTAAAGCTTACTTATTTGTATAAAGATATAAATACCTCCAATAACAAATTTAAGCAAGAAATTTTCTTATTTTGTCAAATTACTCATTTACATTTTTGTTAATTAGATTCAGAATGTAATGAGATTCCAATTTAAAATTTTCTGGAAGATTTTAAAAATTTTTCTGAATCTTTATTGAAGAACTAGAATTTAAAGAACTTAGGTTTTATCATATTAAATTTTCAAAATTGTTTTCTTTCATAAAATAGTTTTTTAATAATGAAATAGTAACTCAAGTGTGCAATTTAAAGAAAATAAGTTTAATAAAAAAAAAGTGCTAAAAATTTTTCACAAAGTATTTTTTTTTAAATAATCCAAAATATACCTTAACAGGTAATGATCCTCCAACGTAACATAACTGTTTGTTAGAGTCATATAATGCCCATTCTTCTGATTCATACTGACTTTCATATAACATATCGCTAAGCAAAGGGGAAAACACCGATACTGTGCTTTTTGCTTCCTTAATAATATTTATGAAAAATATTTTATTTAATAAAAAGTTAGATTAAAAAAGAAACCACAAAAAAACAAATTACAAGCAAATTACCAAAGAAAAAGAATACTTTAGCAACAAAGTGTAACTTTGTTCGCCATTGAAGAGTTGGTCTCTAGTCCCTAGAGGCGTTAAAACAGCATCTGTTGGTCTGTAACAAAAAATTTTAACAATTTATTACTACTTCTTGCAGTAACATAAGTAAAAATATATTTTAAACAACAAAAAAAAAAATTACATATGCACAAGTAAATATAGTGATACTAAGCCCAAATATAGCGATACTACCTAAATATTATAACTAAACTTTGCAAAGCAAAAAAATTATAGTTAAAGAAATATAATTGTATTATAATTGTTTCTTCTGCAATAATCCATTGATTTTTTTTTTTTTTAAATTCAAGTATTAAATAGCAAAAGCTATTATTAAAGTACTAAATATCAAAACTTTATGATGTCATTTGGAATTATAATTCCAAATGACATCGAAAAGCCTTTTTGTAAAAAAAAACGAAGATATACTCTAAATTATCTATGATGAGCTAAACACCTATTCATTGGATTTTTCTCTGGCTTGTAGCACTAAAAACTAGCCCAGACATATTACAGAGACAATTTTCATGTGTGTAATTATGTGTGTAACTGTAGTAATTGTGCATGATAAACAGAAAAAAAAAACATAACATATGTATATATATATATATATATATATATATATATATATATATATATATATATATATATATATATATATATACACATGTGATCTTAATTAGAATGACGTGCAGGTTTGGGGTGGATAGTAATCACTGAAACACAACATGATTTTTATTGTGGCTTTAAAAAGAGAAGAAAAGAGACTAATATTAGCATCTTCAAATATCCTAATTCATAATGTACTTATGCCACCTCATAATGTACCTATGCCACTTCATTATTTAATCTTAGCACCTCCATATTTTTCACATATTTATTTTTACATATTTGCAGACATGGAATGGGGGGGGGGGGAGTTTAAAAGTTCTGGCCAAACAAATAAGACTGAAGCCAGTTAAATAATCCAACATATAATTACACCCAGTTAAATAATCAAACTGGCAAGGATTACTAGCCAGGATACAGGTCAAAATTGTTTAAAGATAGAAATGTCTTTTTCCAAAGTATTTAAATTTTAAATTTATCCAATTTATAACTACACAAAAGAAAAATATTAAATATCTTAAAAAACTAAAAATCTTTAAATATTGAAGCTTTCACACTTTTCTGAATAAATGTTCATAGAAAACTTGAGATAAAAAACTCTAAAAAAACCTTTTTTTTAACATTTCCCCCTTCTATTTGTATAAATCATATAAAATAAATAAAAATTATATATATATATATATATATATATATATATATATATATATATATATACATATACATACATATATATATATATATATATATATATATATATATATATATATATATATATTTTTACTTCAATCTTTAAATCAATTTTCATTATCAAATCTTAAAAATATTAAAATTTATATGCGATTGCAATTAATATTTTAATGAAAGAGAAGTAATGATTTTTGGGAGATATTAAAACTATATGTTAATAAGGCTTGTTCGAAATTTGTTTGGTCAAAGTGGTTTGTACTTATATTTTTATATTTGTTTTTCAAAAGAAAAAGGTACAGGCAAATAAAAGAATACTTGAAGAGCAAAATAAAAAAAATATATTAAGAAAGCCAATAGAAGAATACTTGCAAGGAGTATTGAATATGACAATTGATTTCCAATCATGGTCTAAAAGTATGTTGTTTATTGGGGAAATTGGATGTAGAAAAACAGAATGGTTTCAGCAAAATAAATCTTGTGCCATCTACTAAAATTCATTCTTGTGTTACTCGTCATTCAATTAAGTTTTTCTGTTACTGTTCCTAAGTGCTCCAAAAACTCTTATTCGCCTAGTTTTTTTCCTCAAACATCAGTTCTTTGGAATTCACTTCCTTCATCTTGCTTTCCTGATCCATATAATTTGCAATCTTTTAAATCTTCTGTCAATCATTATCTTGCTCTACAATCTTCATGTTTTCTCTTCCAGTAACTTCCAACACTAATCAGTGGTTGCTTGCAGCCTTGTTGGAAGTGAAGATGTTGAAAAAAAAAAAAAAAACATAGATCAACTTAGAATCAATGAGCATAAGTTACAAAAAAGATACAATATAGCCTGATGGGTAAAGGTAGAGCATATTGTATTTTAAAAAAAGTTCCTTAAATAATATTAAAAAAAATTGCTCAAGGTATGTTAGCATAAGTTATATTTTTTATAAAACTTATTACATTACATATTTATTATACATTAAGATATCTATATTAATTAAAATAAGCACTTTCACATGCAAACACAAACACACTAAACTCAAATAAAACTTTTAATTATATCTTAAACAAATAAACTTTAGTCATTTTACATGAACAGTTATAAAAATCTTACACCATAGGAATAACATGATGAGTAAGTGAACCAGAAGGACAAATTTCTTCCATAGCTAAACTATTTGAAACATTTACAAGTGAAAATGCATCACCTGGGAGCTAAAAAATAAAAACACCAGATGAGAAAACAAATATAAAACATAACATTGAATAAAATAAATACTACTATCCTTGTTATCTTTGTTAAAGAAGTAGTTTACAATAATGTGTGTAATAAAGTATTTTTTTAATACATACATATATTCCTTATATATTCCTTTTTTTAAACATTTTTATATATTCCTAAAATAATTAGTTAAGAAAATGTTGTATGTAGTAAAGTTGATTGTTGATAAACTAGTTTTAAAAAAATCATTTGTCACTACTAAAAATATTATTTAAATATATAAACTACTAAAAATTAATAAAACACAACTTTAATGAACACAACTACAACTAGGGATTGCAAAAAAAAAAATTTAAATTTAAAATGATTGGAAAATCAAGTATATGCATTTACAAGAAATATCAGAACTATTCTATGCTTCAAAATTAAAACAAAACTTAATTTAATATATTGAAGTAAATTACCTTAAACACAAAATTATAGAGTTTTGAACAAAATTTCGCAAATATTTTTTTCAGATAATTTTAAGGACTCGTTCAAATATGTAAAAGATTAAAAGAGAGTAGGACTATATCTATCAGAACATGTAAAAAAATATTTTTGTTTAATTACATTTTAGTAACCGTGGGCTTTTTGGTGCTTCAATTTGAAAACTATAGCAACATATAGCAACACCAATTTGTTGGTGTTGTTATATGTGATAGTAAAAAATATTCCGCTGTTCAAAATTTCTATTGTTTAACACTATTTGAAAAACACAAAACAGGAGCATTTGTTAAAAAATAGCAAACCTTCATTACAGTGGTGGTATGAGTTTAAAAAGAGATGTAAACATGATGTAGCATTATGCAAAACAGATAACAATGAAGCAAACAGAGAGTCATCTTACACTTCTAATATAATTAAAATATATTTTACCAAATACAAGAAACAATATGATGAAGGCAAAATTGATAACTTAAATGCTTCACATATTTTGAACTGCAATGAGTTTGGTTGATGAGAGTGGTGACCAAGAAAAATTTTAATTTTACGATGAACAGGAACAAAGCGTGCTCTCAAACTTAAAGAAAACAAAAAAAAAAAAGTCTAAAACACATTTCCAGATTTAATGGTAAAAAAAAAAGAAAAATTTGTGTTGATTGTGATTTTGCAACCAAATATGAACTCTAAAATGTTATCAACAAGGCACTGAGTTTTTTTGTGCTAAAAATTACAGCCAAACTTAGTGGATCCAATATTGAGTAATAGATAGATATATTTATCTTTTTATTAGTTTACATATATGAGTTGGTTTTCTTTTCATTTTTTTTTCATTGATTTTCAACGATGACCAACTTAAGTTGAAAAAAATGTAATCCAGTTAAAAACTGTTTCTAATAAAGTTAACTTTAATAAATAATTAAAGATTGCAAAATCCTGGACGTTTTTAATCCCAGGAAAAAAATAGAAAAAAACGTAACTGTAGGACATTTTCAATCCCAGGAAAAAATAGAAAAAAACGTAACTGAAGAAAGTGAAGCATACAAAGAACTAACGTTTAAAGGATGCATCAAACACTTAAAAATGAATAATTTAATGATAATATAAATATAATACTTCATTCATTAATGAACCTAAGTAATTTAAATTATAAAACAATACCATGAATTGATAACACAGTTTCAATAAAAATAACTAAAAATAATATGAACATGCATGAATATACATGTTATTTATTGTTGAAAGTACTACCCGAAAAATCAAAGCGTCAATCATTTATTGCTTAATTGTATTTGATTTTTTGAACATAAAAACCAAATGGCTGAGAATGCTTGTTCGGGCAACACTTTTGTTAGCCGTATAGATAGTATATGTTTTTTTTAAGGTGATCACATCTTGAGCTACTACTTCCAAAGAGCAGTATTTTTTTTTTTCTAATTTTAGAAGTTATTTTTCTACCCTTATAGATTGTGCCAATCCTTTTTTCATCACTTCATTTATCCATTCATTTAATTATTCACTGATTGCTTTGACATTATTCTCACATTCGTGGCTTGAAAAAATCAGGTTCAACTGATTCAATTGTGCCAATCAATTCAATTGTGCCAACTGCCAATCAATTCAATTGCCAACTTTCTGCCAATCAATTCAACTGCCAATCAATTCAATTGCCAACTTGCCAATCAATTCAATTGTGCCAACTGATTCAACTGTGCCAATCCTTTTTTCATCACTTCATTTATCTATTCATTCAATTATTCACTGATTGCTTTGACATTATTCTCACATTTGTGGCTTGAAAAAATCAGGTTCAACTGAACACAACTATCACTACTCAAGTCTGCTGCTGTTATTATATCTGCCGAGTTTAAACACTTTATCAGGTTTATCATAATTTTTTTTATTTTGGGTACTTGTATTTGGTACGAAAACTTTTTGGGATTTTTTATGAAGTAACCTGGCCATGAAGATATACTAAGCTCCTTAACGGTGTACTCCTCTCTTTAATTCGGTGACTCAAAGCATCATACAATTATTTTTGATTTCAGATTGTTGTTCTTTTATTTTTGTCAACATAAACTCTAATGTCAGAGGAAATTAAAGTTGAGTCTCGACAACGAAGTGCTACCACAGTTGCTTTAATGGGAGTAAAATATACTACTAAATCAGATATTCTGCATTTCTTTTTGTTCATCTTAATTGAATCATTAATGTTGGAATTCAAGTCTAAATTTAAAAATGTCTTTTTAACACAAAAAATTTTTAAATTTTAACTTAAGTCTAGCATAAGCAACAAGCTGCTCCATTGGGTTTTGCAACCCAAGATTAAATTGATGACCTTTCCAAACTCAACTTTTGCGTACTTTTGTAAATAATTTTAAATTTTGTTTGGGGACCTTTTAAACATTTTTACAATTGTCCTGACTTGTTATAACAGGTCCAAAAATTTGGTGCTTAATTTTAACTTTTGATGTTTCATTAATTAACAATAAACCATTTGAATCTCGAATATAATCTTCCTCTTCAGCAAACAACTTCTACTTTAAATAACAATAACTAAAGTTTATTTAATAAACCTTCTGTATTTGGATAACTTGATTAAAACAATGTTAAAAAAACTTTTGACTCACATTGAAATTAGAATGAATTAGAATTTCAAAATAAAATTAAGGTGTTCCTTCTATTAAAATTTTTTGAACCTTCCATCAGCAAGCGCTAAAATTATACTTATTTTCAATAATATATTAGTTTTAATATTATACTATATATACACTTTTTATGTTTAATCGTACATATTTTGCAGAAAAGTAATAATGTTTTTAGTTTGTATTTTCGATAAAATGCAGAATAAAAAGAAAACATTGCAAAAAAATTTTTTTACTGGTTATTGAAAAAAATTAAAGAAAAAAAAAACAGCTACAAAACCAAACAGCTACTATTCCAAAGCCTATATTTACATTTTATGATGTACAAATTTTTAAATAACAAATTAAGCCTAAACTTTTCGCACTTTTTCTTTTTTTGGGACAATTCTGAAATCCTGGGATATTTTAAAGACTAATCCTGGGATTTTTGGATGAATAATTTGTACGGGATCCCGAGATTGACATTTTTTTTTTTACATATTATCATTTTTTTTTTTACATATTATCATTATAGAAAAACAAAGTCTTATATATTGAAAAAAATTCCATAAAAAAATACGTTTCCCATCAAAAACAAATTAAACTTTCTGAATGTTGGCCAAAATTAAGCTTACTTTTCCAATATACTTAAAATAAACACTTTCAAAAAAAAAAAAAAAAAAAACTTACTATTCGTATAACTGAATTATCTGGATTTAAACTGTGAAACCCTAATTCGAAAGAAAGATCTGAAGCTCCATTAACCATCCACCATCGTGCTAAACACAATTCCATTGTATATCCTCCCTAATAAAAAAGAAAAACATTAATGTCATTTTAAAATGAATTTCCACTTCTATTATTATTTTTAAATAAAGATTTTAAAACCTAATTTTCAAGTAAAACCTAAGCAAAAAATAGCATTAGAGTTCCCAGAATTAAAACAATATTATCTATATTAGAAATACCAGAATATTGTTATCAACCTTTAAATAAACTTGTTAATAAAAGTACAAAAACAACAAATAAGTATTAGCATTCAACATCACAGCATAATTTCTTGAGATTTTTTTTATAAAGCAAATCATTTAATTTAAATTATTATCATTATAATAACTAATAAATAATTTACAATTAATTTTTTCCAATAATATTTAATATATAATATATAATCTATATCAATTATTATTAATTTAATACCCGGACTTTGAAATGCAGTAATGTTTTATCAGCATCTGCTTTTAAAATCAGTTGTCTATAAAACTCTGTTTCAGAAAAAGCTTCTTCGTCAATAAGTTGAACTGCATGAACAAAATACTTAATACTTTCAGCTTTTGTACTTAATGAAAGTGCTAAAAATAAACAAAATAAGCAACATAAATAATAACAACATCATGGTCAGTTATATTTCAACTAACTTAAAGAAAACTTTGTGGGAGACCATCTCTAGTTTAATTTCTACATACTATCTACATTTTATAGATAGGTTAATTCCAGACTCCCAATTGCAACAATTTTGAAATTGGGAGTCTGGAATTAACCTATCTATAGGAATGTCACATTGGCATTCCTTTTGTAAATGGTCTAAATACTACTTTAAAGCATTTTTTATTTACTTTTTCTTACTTTAATTTTTTTTCAGGTGTTTCATTTTTTCTAGAACTAATTTCTTGATAGTTCTGTCTTTGAAAAAGTGGCTTTTACTTACTTGATTCATACTAGAGAAAAATTATAACCTACTTAATAAAAAAAGTGAAATTTGTTAAAAAATGCCAAAATGAAGTTAGCTGTAGTACTTTTCCATTCATCAACATTTCTTTACATGCAAGTTTTCTGGTTAGCTACTTTTGTCTGCAAAAAACAGACAAAATATAAGCAGTAATTTAAAACTCAAATATATCTAAGAGTATATTGTCTATTTACCTAAAACATTCAATTTTCAGCCATTTTGAGATCCTTGTAAGTTTGCCTAACACTTTGTTTTGATCTAAGATTAGCAGCATACAAGACAATTAGACCCATCTATTTAAAAATGCTAAGATTTTAAACTTGTTATGTTCAGAAGCATTTTTAAATAACCCTATTTTTCAAATATCAAAAGTTAAATGAATTATAAGAAACCAATGCCCCTCTAACTTGCCTACTGGCCCATGTTAGGGGTATTACCAATTATAACCTATTTCTTAACAAAAAAAAAAAGAGATAGTTGGTTGTTTCATCTGGTCTTTATAGTGGATAGGGGAACAAATAAAGAGGCAGTAACTATTTAGAGGCCTTCATTGTTCAAATGTAATATTTTAAAAAATTTTAAAAGTTGATTTTAAAACTGAAAGCATTACTTATTTTAATTCTATTTCATTATAGGCGATTAAATTACTAATAATTCAATAAACAAACAGAGCAGTGAATTCAGCCAATGACTATGTGAAGTAGAACAAGATAAATCATAATAGAAATGATTTTTTTATTTTGTTTCAACAATTAAAAAAAAATTTGACTTTCGAAATATAAAATCTTCAGCAGTGTATAAAATTGACAAATGTCTAAAAATATTTATTGTTGAACTTTATATGAAAGCTTAAAAAGGAAGTAATTAAGATCTATACAACAAAAAAACTTATTAATTATAACAAACATATGGTAGAACTTATGGAAAGCAAATAAACATGAGAAAATAGTTGTTCTCTTTATATATGTTTATTGTATAGTGTCTTGCCTGGTGTGCTTCTTATGTAAGAAGTAAATTCCCATTAGTTTTAACATTTAAATTAAATTGAAAAAGTTTTATTTTTAGCAATTTGTATTATGCAACTTTTTATAAATTTACCAGAAATAGATAGAAGAATTAAATGATATAGCTAAGGTGGGATTGACATCATTTGCTCCTATAATGCCATAAAATTGTATATTTGCTGAAAAATCTGGCACTCACACAGTCTATGTTTGTATACACCATAAAAATCCAAATCTTTATGTAAAAGCATTAAATAATGGTTGAAAGGTGAGAAATATTTCTTTATGTCCTTATAAATTGTTAGGTGCTCCTTAGAAACAGTAATTAAAAGTCCTGGTGAGTTTCAAAAGAATAAAGTTTCGAAATTTTTTCTTTAAGAATTTTTATTTATTTTTTATATACGCCTTATATATTATGGAAGTCTTTTGAAAAATGGTTATTTTTTTTTTACTTTTCCGTATTATTTTTGAAAGAAATCAAACATTTTTGACTTTAAGATATAATGCTCCTTAATTTTGTAAATTACGTTTAAAGTATCACATTTAAACAATAATAGAGGTTGCTAAATAATTACTGTCTCTTTATTTGTTCCCCTATATACTATAAAGACCAGATCAAGGAGCTGGCAACCAATCGTATCTTTTGTTTGTTTGTTGAGAAATAACTTATAATTGGTTGCAACCTTTTGCATGGGCCAATAGGCAGTTTATAGTGCCAGTTTTTAATAATCTATTCAACCATTAATAATTGTAAAAAAGGGTTATTTAAAAATGCTGGCATTTTTGTTGTGAACATAACAAGTTTAAAATGTTTGCATTTTTAAATAGATGGGTCTAATGGTCTTGTATGCTGTTAATCTTAGATTAATAAAAAGTGTTAGAAAAATTTAGAAGCATCTCAAAATGGCTGAAATTTGGAAATTTTAGGTGAATAGACAATATACTTTTAGATATATTTGAGTTATAAACTGCAACATGCTGCTTATGTTCTGTTCCTTTATTACAGACAATAGTGGCTAACCAGAAAACATATCTGTAAATGAAATGGAAAATGAGAGTTCGGATGATGATTATAACATTATTGATATGCAATCTGAATTGAATAAAAAGTTAATTTAGATGACAAGGAAGCACCTAATGACAAATCTCTTTGTTATGATTCAACAGAACAATTTTTTAATGTATAGTCAAATACCAAAAAAAGATATAACAACCTAAAAAAAACTCTCTAAAATATAAAGCTTTTGCAGAAAAAAAACTGCAATTTGCTAAGTATTCAAATGGAAACTTAACCAATACTGACTCAAAAGATTTTCTTGGCAAAATACCAGATTATGAAAGATTTAACACTGGTCAATCTTTACCAATTGATTTTTCCTTCAATTTTAAAAAAAAAGATATGATTCGAAATATCAAAAAAGAAATTGATTCGAAGATATCAAAAATAATTTCCATATAGCATTTAATAGGGATCTAATTAGTAAAGAATATCGCAATTATGATAAATTGTTTAAATTTTGCCAACTGTATGATCATGTTTTACTAAATTGCAACTCCATTGATCTGGAAGATTATAATAGTATTATTAAGCAGATTGTTCCTTATAAGGTAAAAAAAGCAGCAATACAATCCGAAAAAGCTGGGTAAATGAGGATTCAAATTCATAACTTGATGCGGTGCTACATCTGGGATCATTTACAATTTTTTTCTATATACTGGCGCAGAGAAAACAAACATTTCACCAATCTCTACTGTAACACAAAACACTATGGCTTCATCAAATAATGTACAAGTTACTGATTGATCTAAGCTTATTCTGAAATTATTGCATTTATCTATAACAGTATCTTGGTTTTATAATAATCCATCTCAACAAACCAAAAATTCAGATAAAGTTTTTCCTCCAACTTCAGTATCAGCTTCCAGTGAAGAACTAAGAAGACCAATATGATACAAAGGTGGAAATCAAATCACTACACCACCAACAAAAAAACCGGTTGAAGCAAAATTTCATAATACTGCTTCAACTGTTTTGGAAAAATTAGAACCAGCTGGTACATCTGCTGCAATGAAATTAGTTTGAAGTATACCAAAATTTAGAAATTTGAAAATATTTTTTGACAACTGGTTTGTATCTCCTGCACTGACCATTAGTTTGAAAAAGATGGGTTACCAATCCATATCTACTGTTAGGCTGAATAGAGTTCAAAGAAAACTAACTCCAAATTTTGATAAGAAACCAAGAGGTGCTATTGAATCTCATGTCAATAAAAATGGTATTTGCTTGATTTGTTGGAAGGATAACAAATCTGTCAATTTGTTATCATCTTATGTTGGTAGTGATCCAGTGTCAACAATCAGTCGTTGGGATGGTAAAGCTAAAAAAAGAGTTCAAATTTAATGCCCTGCAATTATTAGAGTACAACAAGTACATGGGCGGTGTTGACTTCTGTGATATGTACCATTCATTATATCGTATTGATCACAAAAGTACAAAGTATTATGATCACATAGTATACTATTTATTTAGTGCCTGCATGACAAATCCTTGGTTGGTATACAAAATTGTTAATAAAGATGGTAAAGATAAGAGTGTTTTGCTTAGAGATTTTATTCTAAAAGTATCTGATAGTTTAATGTTGGCTAATAAAATTTTGTTAGATCAACCCAGACAAGGAAGACCTGGAGCAAATCTTGCAAGTAAGTGTAGTATTGAAGAAAATTTTTATCGAACTCCAAATATTATGATTAAAACATTTTATAACCTTAAAAATATTTTATTTTACAATAATGAGCCTTAATTCTAAAATATTGATAATTAATTTAAAAAAAAAATACGATGTTATATATGTTGAACAAAAAATAAAATAGTATCTTTAATACCAGATGTTCCATATACAGAACAAATTAAAATATGCCTTGTGCGACAGGAACAACCAAATGTTCCATATATGGAACATTTGAGATTTACCCTAAAACATTAAATTTTTCAAATTTTTTTTTCCATTTATAATTAAATTTAATGTTTAATCCAAATTCGTTTTATAAAAAATTTCATATTTTAAAATAAAAATGCAGGTTGGTATGGGTTAAGCAATTTTCAGCTTTTTTCTCTAATATGAATCAAGTAAGTAAAAACCACTTTTTAAAGGCAGAACTATCAAGAAATTAGTTCTAAAAAAATTAGACATTTATTGAAGATAAGAAAAAAGTTATAAGGGTTTAAAGTGTCTATTTGACCATTTGAGAGACATTGTGTTGCATTTGAGAATCAACGAGAGACATTGTGTTGCATTTGAGAATCAACGAGAGACAATGTGTTGCATTTGAGAATCAACAAGAGACATTGTGTTGCATTTGAGAATCAACGAGAGACAATGTGTTGCATTTGACCATTTGAGAATCAACGAGAGACATTGTGTTGCATTTGACCATTTGAGAATCAACGAGAGACATTGTGTTGCATTTGACCATTTGAGAATCAACGAGAGAAATTGTGTTGCATTTGACCATTTGAGAATCAACGAGAGACATTGTGTTGCATTTGACCATTTGAGAATCAACGAGAGACATTGTGTTACATTTGACCATTTGAGAATCAACGAGAGACATTGTGTTGCATTTGACCATTTGAGAATCAACGAGAGACATTGTGTTGCATTTATAAGACTATAATTTCCAAACCACTACAATTAGAAGTCTGAAATTTCAAATTTAACATATCTACATAATGCACATAATGTCATTGGTTGAAATATAATGAACTAATCCATCATCAAAAAGATAATAAAAATGTGACAACAACAACACACTTACAAACCCAGTTGACTTCTTTTGGTACATGATAAAACCATCGGTGAACAACTTGAGAATTAAACAAAATTGCATCTTTATTAATGATTGATCCTTCAAAACTAAATAATAGATTGAAATAAAGTAATAATAATTTGTATGTGTACATAATAATGTGTGTTTAGGCGTGTATATACATTCCTGCCGATGTTAACTAATATATTTTGCTCATTTTTAAATTAAATAAAATCTTTTAATTTAATTAGCCTGTCTTTAGTCTAATTTTTCAGACAATAAAAAGAAAAAGAAAAAAAAAAGATTTTTTGTTTTTGTTTTGATGTTTATAAATGCTTTATTTTATACTGCATGAAGAAAAGTAATTTGGAGATTTAGCAGGTTAATATGGCATCCAAACTGGTATTCTGGTGTTAAAATTGACTTGATATTGTAATTGAATGTGACACTTGTGTAAAAAAAAAAATAATAATAATAATAATCTCCATAACATATGAAGAACTATATATCAACGACATTATGTACAGAAGTGTTAACACAGATGTGATTTTACAGGGGAAGCAATTTGAAAGTTCAACATTTAATCATTGTTTTATATATAAATTTAAAGACTCAATTAATACATTATCATAATCACTGATTCATCATTTATGTAAAAAAAGCTTGATAGCTTTCTAGCATCTGTCTAGTATCTGAGAGAGAAATATGACAAAATATACCTGTTTGCACTTACCACATTTGGCATTTTTTTAAATGTACTTACTACAAATGTGTCCTTACAAACTGTGAATACACATTACTATGTTTTTTTTTAATGATCTGTTTTACTGAAAAGTAGATTAAAACTAAGTACTTATGTAAATAAAATAAAAAACATTTTTATTTAATAAAACAGAATTAAATTTATATCAATTAATCAGGGCAAAACTTCATCTGAATCACAACTTGTTCCTCTGGATGGTGAAGGCAGCAAATTGTAGAAATATTTATAATCCTCTGGAATAACACCACTACAGATTAATGACTCTAAATCATTCTTTTTTTCTTGCTAATTGGAAGCAGATGTAGATATGCCTCTTTTTATATATTTTTATTCTAATTCTTCACCTGTCAACAAAAAATTAAATGTATTACTTTATTGAGTTGAACATTGTAATTTAACATAATATTACACAAGCAAGCAACATGGTTGACTTTAGTGGGTAACGAAGATAAATATTGGAGAATGCATGTGCCTATTTTACTATTCCTTTTTTGCCCATTACATTCATCCTATAGATGGCAAAATCCATTTTTTGATGGATATTCAAATATTGTAAAATTGTAGGCATTCAGCTTTTTCTTGTAAAATATTTCCAAATCCCCAGCATACAGCATAGTTAGTACAATCTGCAGGTCAAACATTACAGCTTTAAAAGATGAGTCTGCAAACAACTTATTTTTGTTGTCCTATTTCATTTCTATAGAGTTAGGTTCTCTCATTTTATGTTGTTGCCAGTCATCTCCTAAAACTGTTTTATTTACTGCCAAATTGTACATGTTACATTTCACTTTATCTTTCTTTAGATCTTTCTTTGGAAAATAAAAAAATAGTTGTGGATCATAAGACTGAAATATTTTTTTGTATACAAAAAAATATAAACAGGAATTAAATCTTGTTGCCCTAGATAAATATGGCGCATTTTGCTAATGTTTAAATCAGACGCCAAATATAATTTGCTGGAATCCCTCCTGCAATAATGTGACTCCATCTTGGGGAATGATTCAATATGAGCTTTGACCTTGGATATTGTGTTGTCGTTTGTGATATTATGAGGTTTAAGATCAATTCTTTCATCACATCCACTGTAGTTTCCTGTTTCAGATAAAGTTTTTGTAATGTCCTCTACTACTTAATGGCTGAGTGAAAAGGTGCACAGAAGAATTTCAAGCAGACTCTTCTCAATTCACCACCAAAAGTCTTTAAATGATACTGTTTTGATATTGCCTTTTCTCTTTTGGCATCAGTACGCCAACACACAACTGGGACTGTTATTATTAAAGATGCAATGTATCGATTTTGTCTCTTGGAATCACCATAACTCTGGCACTCTTGATGGATATTCATTTGCAATTCATACTTAAGATTGTCATAGCATTTAAATCTAAAACCAAGATACAACATAAAATAATCTAAAAAACAACGACAAACACATCTAAATAATATTTAGAATAGCTGCTTGAAATGTGTTGATTAAACAAAAAAACATGTTGAAATATACTTAAAAATATGTGGAATAATTTACTTACCATGGCCCATATAATAATCGTGATATTAAGTTGACCAATTCTATACTTATTCTTTATACAGTCTTTTTATTTCAAAAATTTTTAGTAAGTAGTAAAAAATAGTCTTAAAAATCGCGGATATTAAATCCTGGGAAAAAAAACTCCCATTTCCTACTCGAAATATAAGGGCAATGAGTTATTTAAATATTTTTTTTACTTGACTATACTAATCTTATTTCATCAGCAGGTTATAAATTTCATCTAACAATCTTTAAACATTCAAAGGATGAAAGATTTTTAGACTATGTGAAGTTTCCGCCTCTCCAAAATTGATGGGAATCTAAATTTTACATGGTTATAACTTTTGAAAGTTAAAAGATTATAAGATGAAATTTAAAACCTGTTGAGGGAATTAAATTTAGTATAATTTTGTATAAATTTGTTGACATGTTACAGTCTTAAGTTAATGATAACTTATCATAAAACTGTAAACTTCTATTAAAAAAATTGGGTTATTAATTATTTCTTTTTTAAGATTTTATTAATTTTTTTTTGAGACCATCTAAAAGCTTATTAGGATTTTTTTCCGGTTAAATAAATTTTAGGAAAATAAAAGTTTGAATGTAAAATTTTTTCCTTATGAAAAAGAAAGCTGTGTCTTTAATGCTTGCTGAACTCGCAGACTTAACTAAATACCTAAGCACATTAATAACATACATAATTATATCATGACATATTCAGAACAAATTTCTACCTTAGTTTTGATGTTTTTTGAACTTTAAAACCTTTTAAAAATTCTTTAATTCAAAAATGGATTAAGAGAAAAAATGTTTGCAAAAAGAAAAAATGATGATTAATACTTTTTAGATTACAAAGGAATAATCAATAATAATTTAACAGAATAACAAATTTTGTGAAAACGAAATTTGTTTGCTGGAAAAATGAATAACTCTTTTAAGCAACAACCATATTAATATTTTTTTAAAAAGAGACATCAATGAGAGATGTTTAAGTTTGGCTATTAAAACTGGCTTATCATTGTTTAAAACACACTTGTGCGGATTATCTGGAATAAAAAGAGCAAGGTCATGTAGAGATAAAAACTAAAATAGGCAACTAAGAATACAGAACAAAAAAAACAACAGAAAAACATTGTAGAAAATTCATTCAATTGAATTTAGAAAATTCATTCAATTGAACCCATTTATTTCTGAGTATTATATAACTTAAAATTTGCCACTACCAGCCCAAGAGAAGCACATTGTGGGGAGATGAAATTCAAAATTTCATTTTAAAAAATAACCCATTTTAAACAGATAGTTTCAAAACCCATTTTAAACTATCTGTTTAAAATGGGTTATTTTTTATGGTTTACCATTGAGACTTGAATATAGTTGCATCATCAACAAATAAATTTTAGTGGTAAAATTATCAAGAAAATTATTCATGTCAATAAGAAACAATATAAGACCTAGGATAGAACCTTGTGGTACACCTGAGATTACTGGAAGTATTGTTTATCAAAGATTCAATAATTCAATAATCAACATGTAGATAGCAAATGTTTTACTTTAAAACAATGAATGGACAGAAAATGTTTTTATTTAAAACAATGAATGGATAGAAAATGTTTTACTTTAAAACAATAAATGGATAGCAAATGTATTACAAAAAATGCTTACATCATAGTTATTGTTAATTTGTTAAAAGGAATTAAAAAATAATATTGCAAATAATTCATTTATGCAAGTAAATCAGTTCAACTACAAAATAAATAATTAAAAAAATAATATTGTCTTTAATCAAAGTTTTTGTAGAAGGAAAAAAAAAAGATTTTTATACTTTAAAGACTTTTTTTGATTCATTTCTAAAGTTTTTATAACACCTAAAATTTTGCATATTATTTCAATTAAATATTTTTACATGAATCACAAAAATAAAAAATATAAAAAAAAAGTTAATAAGAAAAAGTAAAAAACAAAATTAATATAAAACTCTTTTTGACCTGAAAATCTAAAAAAACTAAAAAAAAATTAAATCACTCCAAAAAAAAATAACATATTTTTAGATAGATACTAATAAACAATCAACACTCGAGATCTCAAGTAATAAAACTTCTATCAAAAAAACTAAAAAAAAAAGATCAAAATAAAAGTGTACAAACTTTATAGACGACCCCTAATATTATAAATACTATATAAGAGCTAATATGTGAAAAGAAAAACCTCACCTCTCTGGAACTATGACTGTAATTGGAACACGAATTACTGGTCCTATTTTTGAATTTTCCTCACTGAATCCTTGGACCTGTAAAATTATTTTAAAATATAGAATTAATTATAAGAAATTTATACTATAAATATAATTAAGAATAAGATATAAATTTATTAAATATTATATATATATATAAAAACATTACTTCAGCATAATGGCAACCAGGCGACAAGTTAGATGTTTTAACAAGAATAACAACTTCTCTTGCTAAAAGTTGAAAAAACAACTATATTATAATAAACAAGATTCAGCAAGAAAAAAAAACTTTTAAAAAAAATTAAAACTCTAGCAGCTTTTGGTTCTAAAGACTACTTTTATTATTATTATTTTTTTTTTCTTAAAAGTTTGTTGTTTATATTACAAACTTATTATGAAGTCCATCCATGAAACAATAAAAGCTGAAAAATTATTTTGAAGAAAATCCTCTCCAATTATTTTTTAGCTAATATTCTTTCAAAACTTAGTAAACTTAAAAAATGTGGTAAAAGACAAAAAAAAAAGATTTTTAGATTTTTTTCTAGATTTTTTATTAGAAGCATCATGTGATCATTATAATTATGGTCCAGAACAAACTTTAAAAACCATATGATAAAAGTTTAAAACTTTCTAGCATCAGCTTTTATTTATTGAAAAATATCAAGTTGATATTTTTCAATAAATAAAATTTGACATTTTATTAAAGTCAAATCTAATCAAAATAAATACTAAAAGATCACATTAATATAATCAATTAACTTTTTGGCATTTTGGAAACTAAATTTAAACAAGATCAGCAGAATTTGAAGTATTAGATCTGAGATTTAAGATTTATAAACCTGTAAACTTTAAAACTATTAGAAAAATTAAAAAGAAGGAATTACAAAGAACAATTAATAAACTTTCATTACCAACATTACAGAGGTAGATATTCGATGGACAAGATACCCATGATTGGGTGCTCAATAAACTGACTTTTAAGCTAAATGTTGCTTGAAGCTCTTTATCTAAATAATAGTGTTGATCAAAGTATTAATCTCACTTCAAAGTATTAACCTCACTCGAATTTCCAGTAAAGTTAACTTCCAAGAATGTAAAAAAAAATTCTGAAATAATTTTAAAAAAAGTTAAAAACTTGTATTTTTGTTGAAATTAGGTTGTATGGTGATAGTATATCTTTCCAAAGATGCTGATAAATCTTTTGATTCTCTAATGTATACTCCACGTTTGTTAGCACAAAATATCTATGAATTCATTAATTCAAATTTTTTATTTTAATTATATAGAACAATCATATATCATAATAAACATTCATATATTGTATCATATTGAACACTCAATCAGCCTATAAACAACATTTAACCAGTGTGTCATAATAACAACCCTTGGGATACAATATATAGCATTCAATACTATTATATTGCACTCAATAATCATATACTGCATTCAACACTTGCATACTCTATTCAAGACTCATATATTGTTCAAATACTACAGCTTGAAAATATTTTTAATTAAATTTAGATACATTAAATATTAAATAATTTAAGATGTTATCATTAGGATTATTCATAAAATGAATATATATATCATAGTTTAAATATAAAAAAATATTAAAAAAAAACTAAATATACAAAAAAAAAAAAAAAAAAAAATTAAATTTAATATGTTAACATTAGGATTATTCATGTTGTTGTATTTAAATTAAGATTTTTCTTATATAAGTTGTATTTAAATTAAATACTTACATTAAATGATAAATAATTTAAGATGCTATCATCGGGATTATTCATAATGTATTCATATGACTTTTCAACCTAAAGTTATAATAACAATCTCAATTCTTTAGCAATTTTAAATTTCTTTAACAACAACTAAATTATAAAGTTCTGAGACAATTTTGAGACAACAGGGTGTATTATTATACTTATTTTCGTGTGTTACTGAATGCCAGAGAAATTGAGAACCTTTAAAAAACATACTTATTTCTGTATTTTAAAATAAATCTTAAATTAAATATTCAAAACCATACTTGAATCATACCATGACCTTGGGTAAATTCAGACAATCCTATAAAAACATAATTATACTAATTATGATAATAAATACAATTTTATGCATAAATGTTATACATCAAAAATTTAAAAATGAATCTTGTAACTTATGCTTTTTATTTCTATAACTTTCACAAAATTTACTTTAAAATCAAAAATTAATAAACTTGCTGTTATTACGTAAATGCAAAGAAATGTGAAAAAAAGAGATAAAACGGATGTGGTAATATAGGACATTACAGATTAACTTAATCAATCTGATTTTGTTGATAAGAATCTGATACTTATACAGCTATAAATAATTGAAAATAAAAATTAGTATAAATAAGAAGCCTGGCTATATTTTTGGATTCATTTATCTAGATTCATGTCACTATAGATTCATATAGGTGATCATTAAAAATGTAATGATAATATATTTTTCTATTAATGCAGTGTAGCAGTTTTAAAGCATACCGCATTAAATTTTTATTATATAAACATGTTTTTGTAGAATGATGAATCTATAGTAATAATCTATGAACCTCTAACACACAAATTTTAGTTAAATTTTAATTATGCTTAAAAGTTTTCCTTAAACAAAATCTCATCACTTTTTAAACTACTTTAAATTTCAAATTTAAAAATCATATATTCAACACTGAAAATTATAATGTGATTTATTTTATATATTTAGATAACCGGTGAAAAAAACTGTGAATCGAAAAAAAACCTCCACATTCTTTAGAAAAAAGCTAGCAGAGATAAAAAAAGCTAGCAGAGATAAAAAAAGCTAGCAGAGATAAAAAAAAAATTATTTAGTATTTCTTATTTGGCGCTCTGAACATTAAGTTTTTTAGCATTTAATGTATCTATCAAAGTACTTTGATTTTTAAACTTTTTTTCAACTATAATACGTATTATAGTATGTATTATAGTTGAATTCAACTATAATACATACTCAATTCAACTATAATACATACTCAATTCAACAATAGTACATACTCAATTCAACTATAATACATACTCAATTCAACTATAATACATACTCAATTCAACTATAATACATACTCAATTCAACTATAATACTCAATTCAACTATAATAAATTTTTTTTTTAACTCAATAAACAAATAATTTAACTATAATACATACTCAATGATTTCATTCACATTTGAAAAGAAAAAAATGTGAAAAAAAAAATAGAGCCACATTACCCCACTCTATGTGGGATTATTGAAATCAAACCTATGTTCTTTAGATACTTTTAAAAATTATATATAAACTTTTTTTATTAAAAATCTAATTTATTAAAAATGATGTCTAATCATGATTTTAACATTAAAGAAGTGACAAAGGGTAAGTGATTTTGTGACAATTTGTTACAAAGGGGAGTGTTATTCAATTTTGTGACGCAAAATTACTTTTTTTAGTTTTTTTTATTCAGACAAGGAAATTTACAATATTATAGTATCTAAAGACAAAAATTGAGTGACATAATTTATGGATGACCCCTTATAAAGATATCAAATATGTGCACTGCTGATGTTTAGAATTTTAATCTTTCTTTTTTAAATTTATTTTAAATTTTCATTTTCAAGTTTTAAAAGAAACTTTTAAAATAACTTCAATAGAAAATTAAAAAAGCTGTTAAAAAAGTAACACCATAATGTTTACTCTGGGTGCATTTTTAACAAGCTAATTTTTAAATTTTACATGAGTAAACTTTTCGACTGGTAGCATTTACTTGAGTAAAATTTCAAGTAACATTACATTTACTTGAGTAAAAAATTTTCTTACTTTTTCCACCTCTGAAAGCAACTTTTTTTGTTAAATAATTTTAAACTGTTACCAATTTATCAGTAAAAAAAACTGTTTTACTACTGTTAATCTTGTACTGCTTTACAATAATGCGTTGATTAATTGTAAAAGCTCATGCAAGATCTGGCAAATGGATTTTAGCAAAATTCTGTATGTAGAGTTTTTAATGATTTATGTTTAAAAAGAAAAAGCTTTTCACACTTCAAATTGTTTAAGATTAAATTTCAAAGTTCAGATTTGAACACAGTTTTTTTTTGCTCCTACCATTTGTGCTGGTTTTGATTTGTTTTTTTTTAATGTGCATAATTTTGCTACAAGCAACTGTTTTTACTGAACTTTAACTTACACCGTCCATATGATTGTGAATCATTTCATTACTGGCAAACTCTGGTAAATTGTGCAATTGTAAGTGCAAACCACACAATCGCCAACCCTTAAAGCACTTAGTAAAATAACCCAGATTGCATTAAAAAGTCTGCTTAATTTTGACAGTGAACAGAAATGACATTTGACACTTTTTATTTGACACTTTTTTTATTTCAGAAAAAAAAAAGACAAAAAAAACAAGGGGGTTTTAGATAACTAAACCTATAGATCTAATACACTTGCAAAAATTATGGCTACACAATCATCTTTTTTTTTTTACCTGTTTACACCCATTAAAACCTGTGTGCACTACTTTTTATACATGGTAAAATAAATTTTCCTTTATTATTGTATCTCCACATGAGTTAGAAAGAACATTAAAAGAGAATGCCTTCATAATAATTTGAAAATGTTAATACTTATGACAACATACAACGATATAAATTTTTACTATTCTGTTATCAAAAAAAACTATAAAATGTATATCCAAATATATAAACAATGCAAAAATTTTTTTTTGATTTGACTAAGTTAATGACTTTTTAGATGTTTTATATTAAAATTACAAAAACTACCTTCAATTTTTAAAGCAGAATTTTCCAAACATCGTCGAATGCTAAGAAGAAATTTCAAACACTTGAATCTATTTTTTTTTACCTTTCTTTTTATATTATTCAAACTTAAACTTTAAAATACTTACATAAAAAGCATAAAATAAATACATTAAAAATAGATTACATACAAAGAATATCTAACCTGGTTGGTGTATATTTAATATTTTTTTGTTTCAAAGCAGATAATAATAAACCTAAAAAATTTATAAAAAATAAACTTTATAAAATTTATGTACACTAATAATAAATAAATTTTCTTTTACTTATGATTCTAAAACATACCAACACATCCACATGCATTCGGAGAAGACATAGATGTTCCATTCATTAACATTTGTTTTGAGAGAGTACATTTAGGCACAGAAGTTATTGCACCACCAGGAGCAATAATGCACACTCCAAGTGAGCCATCTGTACTAAAGAAAATTAAAAATACTTTATAAATATTATCTTGATTTTTTTTTTCAATTTTATTTATAAAACACCAAATTAATGTCTCCACATTGTTTCAAAAACTAATAAGTTTAATGTAAATGAACTCATTATAAGTAACAAGGATTCAGAAGTTTATTAATGTTAAATAACAATTACAACTACTTTATAATATAGTTATTTGTAATATATAGTTAACTATAAAATTAATTAAAATTGATAAAATTGGTTTTTACCATGGTCCACGTGATGACCATGTAAATGCAGTTCCTGGCATACTTTCAAGAAGAGAATATCCTGAAATCATCATGTCTGTAGATACATATGCACCAACACCTAAAAAGTATTTTTATTTCAATAACAAATAATGTATTATTATAAGTTACAAGATTTTTCTTATTTAAAGTAAATGAAACAAAGTTGATTTATAAAAAGTACCAATAACATTAGCTGTTGTACCACCAGGAGAACCAGTAGTGCTTAATGCTGGTCCATTATTTCCAGCGCTTGAGATAAAAATTACACCATACTCATCAACTAACTTGTTTATCATTTCTATTAGCCGTCTAAAACAATGATTAGAAATTAAATTAATTTTTATATCCATCTAATTTAACAAAAATTTAATCTTATACCTTTTAAATGTAAAAGGTATAATTTTGTATTGATATAACTATCAAAAAAAAAAAAAAAAAAAAAAAAAAAAGTTTCTCAAAAAAAAAAGTAGTTTCCTGAAGTGGCCCCTTAACTTTGGGGAGGTAAAAAAATATAAAAAAAAAAAATTCTTACCCAGAATTTTCCCATTTTGTTGACTCTCCATAACTCATATTAACAAGATCCACTTTATTTAATTCTGCTTCTTTTATCTTAATGGTAAATAAAATAACTGAACATAAGTATTTTAATGCTTTTAAATTATCTTGAAAAAGCTCTTAAATTTAATGGTAAATAAAATAACTAAACATTATAACTTGAACAATAGTATCTTAACACTTTTCAATTTTCTTGAATAAGCTCTTAAATTTAAAAACAGGAAATTACTGCTCTGATTAATGCTGTTCCAGTTTCCATGCCATTCAAATAACCATCTCCAATTTTCATTGATATAATCTACAACATACAATTAAAAATGTTTTTAATCAGTTTATTATTGTTAATTAATAAGTATGTAGGTGAGTAAAGTTTATTTTCCATAATAAATTTTTTTTTTCCGATACTTATTTCTCTGACTATATATATATATATATATATATATATATATATATATATATATATATATATATATATATATATATATATATATATATATATATATATATATATATACATATATATATATATATATATATATATATATATATATATATATATATATATATATATTTTTTTTTTTTTCCGATACTTATTTCTCTGACTATATATATATATATATATATATATATATATATATATATATATATATATATATATATATATATATATATATATATAGTCAGAGAAATAAGTATCGGAAAAAAAAATTTTATTATGGAAAATAAACTTTGTCAGGTTAGTTCAGAAAAAAATAACTTTATAAAAATAAAAAAAATGATTATTCTGAAAGAAAATTTAATTACGAATTCAATATGCAAAAAAAAGTATCAATAATATTAAAAAGATAAAAAATTAAGATTTTTAAGCATTAAGATTTAAGCGAACAAAATTTTAAAGATTAAGGCTTAGAGATTAATGCTTTTCCCAAAATCTTTCTCAAGGAAGCTTGACATTTTTTGTGCTAATAAAAAGCGTTTTTTTTTTTTTTTTTTTTGCACCATCTTGACAATTTGTCGATCTATTCTTGATTTTGTTTTACACTTAGCTGCGGATCTTGGCTGATTTTGCCCATATTCAAACATATTATACTTTTTAATCAGATTGCTGATGGTTCCTAATGCCATTCCAATTGCTTTATTTATCGACCTAAATGTTTTACCTTGCTTGAACAAGTCAACGACCAAATTACGCTGAGCTTGGGACCATTCCTTGATTTTTACTCCCATACTTGATAATATCAATGGTAAATCAAATGAAATTAAAAAAATATCAATTTTAAATATACTTAAAATTACTCACTGTAAAACAACAGTATTTTTAAAACTATTTAAAAAATTTTAAATAGTTTTAAAAATACTGTTGCGTCGCTAAAATTTAACGATTCCAGAGTGTGTACTATACACACTCTGGAATCGTTAAATTTTAGCGACGCAAGTTAATTACCATTGATTAAATTTTTGCTATACAAAATGTGATTAAATTTGCTTTTAAAATAATTATAGAAGTATTTATCAAAAACATGTTTTTCTGAAATAACCTGACAAAGTTTATTTTTCGCATTAAAATGTTTTGTTTCTCTGACTCTCTCTCTCTCTCTCTATATATATATATATTGATAATATAAAATAAATATATATAATAAAATATATATATATTAAATTGATTTATTGCTATATTTTATTAACCTTAAAATTAAGCGGAAGCAAAAAAAAACCGTGAAAACTTCTTGATAAAATTATATTTTTTACATTTCATAGGAATTTTTGAAACAAAAAAGTTCTTGATGTTCAAAATTTTTTGCATTATATTTTTTGTAATTCGCTTTTATATTTTTATTAACTTTAATTCACGAATACTATATAGTTGAAGTAAAAAATAAAATTTACAAATTGAATTAAAATGAGTGGTATAAAAACAAGAAAAAAGACAAGCACAGCAATGTCTGACTTAATAGGTATACAATTTTTAAAAACCTAATTGCTTTATTTTGAAATTATTTATAATATTTTTTTTAATATATTATTTTTAAAATAATATAATTATTAAGTCATGAATAATACATTTTCTCCTAAAAAATTTGATCAACAATAACATTGCCAATGAAAACAATAATATTGACAAATATTATTTTTTAAATATTATGATCTAATTTAAAATTAATATTAATTGTTTGATAATAATCTTATATTTTAATACAATAATATTGATATAATATTAATATGTTATTATATAACAACAATAATAATATAATAACAACAACAATAATAATAATAATAATCATAGCAATAATAGCAATATTATTGCTATTATTGCCAATAATAATAATAGTAATAATAATAATAATAGTAATAATAATAATAATAATAATAATATGATAAAATTTTATCTTAAGGAAAAGGTAGAGACTTTATTCCATCTGAACTACCAACTTATGGTGCTGTTCTTCGAAAAGCTATCCTCATTAAAGAGTTGTCAGAAAAAAAAGTATATCCATTAGATGATTTGGTTAGGGAAACAAGGTTAGAAGTTGTTAAACAATGGAAAAAAGCAAACTCAGACTTTTCACATCCAGTTATTTTTACAGATAAGTCCATTGACAGAAAGATCAAAAAAATTTACAATGATGTTTAGGATATTTGCAGAAAAAGATTAACTAAAAAAGTAGAAATTGACAAAATAATGAAGTCTTTGTCACGACTCTTTGATATAACTAACTGCAAATGTGCAATTTTATTCTGTAGTGAATCAAGTTGTCTGGGATGTGAAAAAAAAGTTCATATTGACTGTAAATGTGAAAAGTCAATGAGGATTCCTATAATAGAATTAGAATTTATTCACTCACAGAAAAGTAAAGAAGGAAAGCAGTCTCAAATTATGATAGGATCAAAAGACTACATAGAGACTAAAAGGAAGCGAAAGGCATTTGAGCGATGTAGTAAGAAGGAACAGAGTTTAAAAAAGTTCAAAAAAAAGAAGATGATGAATAGTAGCCATTCAAAAAGAACCTATGCTGAGGTTTCAGAAAAAATGTATAGATGAAGAAGAGTGCTCTAAAAATGAGTTTGAATGTTCAAGTTACACTGAACATATTGATTTATTAAACAAAAGTGATGATTTCAAACTAAAGCGAAATTATATGAAGATTCAAAATACTGCTATTGCTGCAATAAGATATGAAGTTTCAAACACTGCTGCAGCTGCAATAGCTTCAGGATTTTTAAAAGATTTGGTAGAAGCTAAAGTTGTTCCAGAATCAGCTCTTTTTTTATTACTGGACAAAAACAAAGTGCATAGAGCCAAAGATAAAGTTATGTCAGAATGTCAGGTTTTTGCAGAGAATAGATTAGATTCTGAGAATGTTTCTTGCATTCTCTTTGATGGAAGAAGTGACAAAACCAATTTAATGATATTTAATGAAGAAACCAAAAAGTTTTATCCTTTAATTAAAAAGGAAGATCACTATACTTTGACTGATGAATATGGTAAATATCTTCATCATTTTACAAAAGGAGAAATGTGTGAAAAATCAAAAATTAAGCCTGGTGAACATATAGCAAATCAAATATTTCAATGGTCTATTTTGCATTGTGTTGAACATAGCTTAAAGTTCATTGGTTGTGATAGCACAGCTACAAATACAGGCCATAATGGAGGTGTTATTCATTGTTTAGAAATTAAATTAGAAAGAAAATTAGGGTGGCTAATATGCTCTCTTCACACAAACAAACTTTGTTTTCAGCATTTAGTAGAAGAGCTTGATGGGAAGACAACCTCAAAGACAGGGTTTTCTGGACCAATTGGTAAGTTGCTTTTCAAGGTTACTGAAATGGAAAGAAATTACAGTTTCAAGCCAATATTTGTAGGTCCTGGTTTAATTGAACTTGATGAGGAAATAATAAAGGAGTTGTCTTCAGATCAGAAATATGCTTATAAAATATGCCAGACAGTAATTTCAGGAACTCTTACTGAAGATTTGGCAAACCAAAAACCAGGCACTATAGTTCATTCAAGGTGGCTCAATACAGGGTCTTCCTTACTTTTATTGTGGATAAGCAAGCATGGGTTAGAGGGAGATGTCCTAAGAAACTTAGAATTAATTGTTAAGTTTCTTGTATCAGTATACTTCCCTATGTGGTTCCAAATCAAAGTGAAACATAGCTGGATAGAAGGGCCACGGCATGTCTTGAACCAACTTAACCTTATCAAACTTCAAGATAAAAATGTACAAAAAGTTATTGAAAAATATGTGAGATCATCAACATGGAATTCTCATTCTAAAATCTTATTGCAGACATTACTTTGCAGCCAAAATAAAATTGAAAGGGAATTTGCTGTAAACAAAATTTTAGAAATTAGAAAATATGAGGAAACAGGAACTCTAGCTCCTAGAACATATAAGCTTCCTCATTTAAACCTGTGTGCAACCAAATTGATTGAGTTAATAACATGGGAAGAGGCCTATGAACCTATCTTAACCTGTCAAATGAACATAAATGAGCTAAAAAAAATCCTGGATTGTCCTATGGTAGTTCCATATTTCCCTGTTCACACACAAGGAGTTGAGAGGACAGTTAAGGAGGTAAAATTAACTTTCCCTAACCTTAATAATATATTAGTTGTTTATAATGAAAAAAAAAATTTACTGCTTTAAAAATACTTTTAAAAAAGAGTTTATTTTATTTAGGTAACTGCAGCTTCTGAAACAGTGTTTGGTTTTGAGAGACGAGATGGATTTATTCGTGCAAGAGCAGAAAATAGATCGATAATACCTCGTTTTAACAGCAAGAAGGACCTCATTAAATTTTAGCATTCTTTTTCAGTACCTCTAGTAGAGTTATAAAGATAGAAAAATGAGTTTAATTTTTGCTTTTCAACTAATATAACCCTCATATATTAAGTAAGCATTTATAAAACCACTTACACTTACATAAGGGGTTGGGGGGGGTGGTAAGGTTGTTGAAGGAAGGAGCGCTTGAGAACCACTCTAAATATTTTAAAACTGTTCTATATTTACTGACATTATTGAAATAAGTTTTAAAAATTTTTTAACCATCGATATAGGATATTCTTAGACATAATTTGATTTTGGTCCCCCTCCCCATTTGAGTTAATTTTTGAAAACTTAAGGTCAATTTTTGCAAATGTTGCCTTTACTCTAATAAATTTATTTATGTCTTTCTTTAATGTATATATCTAATAGCAAAATAATCATAAGGGCCGAGTTTTTTAAACAAATTTGAAAAGTACGGGATGCCCTAATATATATATATATATATATATATATATATATATATATATATATATATATATATATATATATATATATATATATATATATTGATATTTAAGATGGTTTTGTATTATAATTAAACAAAACTCATAGTCGAAAAAGAGTGCTCAATATTAAAAAATACTTCAAATAGAGCGATATAAATATATATATTAACAAAGAAAAAACAACTTTTTCTATGGTACTTTAAGTTTCATGCCTATACGGCAATCATCAGCCATTGAATATACCTTAGTATTCAATGGCTGATGATTGCTGTATAGGCATGAAACTTAAAGTACCATAGAAAAAGTTGTTTTTTCTTTGTTAATATATATATATATATATATATATATTATATATATATATATATATATATATATATATATATATATATATATATATATATATATATATACACTTTATAAAGTGTGTATATATATATATATATATATATATATATATATACACTTTATAAAGTGTGTATATATATATATATATATATATATATATATATATATATATATATATATATATATATATACACTTTATAAAGTGTATATATATATATATATATATATATATATATATATATATATATATATATACACTTTATAAAAAAAGTTGTTTTTTCTTTGTTAATATATATATATATATATATATATATATATATATATATATATATATATATATATATATATATATATATACACTTTATAACTTTTTATATTACATATTTTATAACTTTTTAGTTAAATATTTAGCTTAATTGAAACATCAAACTAATCCTTCAAAACTCTTCTTCCCTGAAAATAAAATGAATAAAGTCATGATGAATTCACTATATTCACATTTCACTGTATAACTATTTCTCAACATTTTATAACTAGTAAATTCAGCTCATGTTGCCTGTTTTAAACAATCATTTACGTATATAAATTTTATTTATTTTGAGAAGAGAAGCCGGGGGAAAGCAAAGAAATATATGTATTATGCATACTTAATGAGTATTTATATTAAATGACAATTAATTCAAAGACTATTTAAATGTCTTAAAAAATAGTTGTAAAAAATTAAAAAACTTATAGTTAAACAATTTTATTATACAATTTTAAAAAATTATATATTGTGACAGTAGCCTTTTTTGCCCAATAGCCCAGTAGCTTCTACTTAATATATATCTTTAAGGGACCATCTTAACAGTGTTATTTAATCAAGTGAAGTGAGTAATTATATATTAGATTAAAAAAAAGTGTACAATAAAAATGCTAACTTGAGCTCCTGGTGCAATTCCATTCATTTCATGTTCAGGTTCAAAATATGCAGCAGCTATAGCTGCAACATGAGTACCATGAGAGCCTAAAATAAAATAATATATATATGCATCTTTACAAAAAACATTATGCTTGTTATATTACATATGTTACTACTACAAGAAAATACCTTTAGCAAAAAATAGTTGCAAAAGATGCATTTAAGTTACTTAAGAACATAAAAAGAAAAAATAGGTTCAAGAACAATACAGAGATATAAATGAAAAAAAAAAAAAATTTTTATTGCTTATATATTTTGTTATTTTTGCATTGTTTGCTACTTGATTTAGTTGTGCTTTTGGTTGTGTTAGTCTGTTGTGTGATTGTCTAGTTGAATTAATGTTTTAGGTTTTTGTATTTATGTTTCATCATTTATGATTTGTTATTGTTGAGATTTTTTTGTTATTGTTGTTGTTTTGATTTTCCTTACTTTTTTAATAGTTTTTTTTATTTTTCTCACTTTTTTAATGGTTCTTTTTATTTTTTATTATTTTTTTAATGTTTGTTAAGATCCACAACTGTTCGATTTCGATTTAGAAGGAAAAGATATTTGAACTTTAAAACAAAATGAACTTTAAAACAAAATGAACTTTAAAACAAAATGAACTTTTATCTTAGAGAAGAAGTAAAATAAAACAATTAAAATGCTTTAAACAGTAAAATTAAATCTAATGATTCTAAATATATCTCTAATTATCTTAAACAAATTTATCACTATTTGAAACATTTCTAATCATTTGAAACTAAAATTTGGGGAAAACTCAGATAAAAACATATGGTTTAATGTTAAATAACAAAAAAATTTAAAAATTAAGTTACTTGAATTGATGACAATTGACAAAACATCACCATTTTCATAAACATTGATACTGTAGTTTAACATATCTAGAAAAAATCAAATAGTTTCTCAATTAGTTATAAAGGATAATTTTATATAAAAACTTGTCAAACAAACATGTTTTGTCTACTCTATAAAAAAAAAAAAAAAAAAAAAAAAAAAAAAAAAAAAAAAAAAAAACTATTGTTTAAAATCAGAGATTGCTTGAAATAAGGAATATTAAAATTATGGTATGGTTATAGAATATTATGGTCTTTAAAATTTAAAAAAAAATTTAAATTGTTTGTTTTTTTTAAATATAGTGGTCTTTAAACTTTTTAGAAAGTTCAAAAGTTCCTAAATATTTTAGCAGCTTCAGGGGGCACAAAACCAGGTTTTAAACATTAATAACAACAATAGATAGAGCTCCAGAGGTAAAAAAAAAACCTTGTCTTACTTTTTGGAACATCCAATATGTGTGTGTATGGGTGTGGCCCTAAAATAATACCAACCTACATATCCTACATTTTCACACACATCCTCAGTCAATGTACAAATCAGCAAATCAGTTGATCTATGTACACTGTATGTATAATATCTATACTCTGCTGTACATATAGCTAGATAAGTTAATGTCAATAAAACCAAAATTATAAAACCAAGAAATCAAAATAACAAAGCAAATATTAAAACAAAATAAAATAAAATAAAATAAAAAGTAAAAAATAAAACACAACTATCTCAAACTACATATAAAATTAAATTAAATTGTAGTTTATCATTTGGGCCTAAAAGCCCATAAATGTGACCACAACCCTAAATACCTCCATGCCCTTTTTAACTACCTAATGCAATAAATCATTAAATTAATTAACAGAGCTGCCAGCTAATATTTATTTGTTATAAAAATTAGCTGACATAATTGTTCCTGACTTTTCCTTCATTAAAATGAAAATTCTCTGACATAGGAGATTAACTTTATCAAAAGCTAAACACATGCAGCAATAAAAAAACACATACGCAAGATTACTTTTAAAAAATACATAATCCATGTATTTTTTAAAAGTAATGTAAAGTAATACAAACAGAACATATTGCCTAAGCAGGACTTTTAAAAACTTTCTTGAGCCAAAACTAATCAGCATGAAGTGTTTTATTTTACAAGTTTTTTATTATTAAAATATAATAATATTATACAAAGTCTAAATAAAAAAGGTCTACCTATATCACTTAACCTAGCATATCTTCCACTTATTTTAAAAGGTTCCAATAAGTGGCATTCTTCTAAAGCTCCTTTTTCTGATGTATCAATGCAGGCTCTATAAAAAAGTTGAACTTTATTTTAAGCAACATTTTTTTGTACATTATTAAAAATTGCTATAAAATATTTTTTATAAAACACTAAGATGTTTAGCTAAGATAAGTTTGTTTAGAATATTTTCAAAACATGGTGATGAATGTTAGTTAAAACTGATAATAAAAAGAGGTAAAGCACATATCTTCAACAGTTAATAATTATTATAAGTCAAATATTATATATTCTGAGCTCAGCTAACACATACATACCAATATCAATACAATACCAAATATATTTAAATACCAATACAATACCAGGAGTGAAAAACAATTATTACTGAAGCCTACAACTGCTATATCTTAAATAGGTTGATTTCCTATTGACAAAATAAATATGTAAAGGCATAAGTATATAATATTTGTTAAGACAAAACCAAGACTAGACCAAAAGCATATGCATACAGTTGTTCCAGCTTTAAGAGTGGTTCCAGTAAGCACAAGACATGTTTAAAACATTTTAAAACACAAATCAAATTCCATTAAAACATTTTATAAATGTCTTAAGAACATCTTGTGTTTTTTGGGGTAAATGTTAATATTGACCAACCTGCATTACAACTGGTATTATGTACTACATCATTTTAATAAACTTGCCAAACGAGTGGCTACTCCATTGGTTGGTCAAAGTACCTTTTCTCCAGCCTAATCACATCACACATGATGAGATGGTAAATTGATGCCAGACTATGAAAGTGTAAATGTAGAGCATATGCTGATTATAGTCTTTGGCAAAGATGCAGAAAAACTGTTACCTATTCCAAAATTATATTAATTCTTAACTATTTTTAGAATTTTTATATAAGTTTAGGGAAACTAAATTTAGTTTCCCTAAACTTGTGTTTAAAAAAATTTTTTTAAAAGCTTACTCTACCAAAAAATATGAAACCATTTCTTACAAAAATTTGATAAAATAAAACTTTTTATGTTAAAAAGTTTTATTTTTAAATTTAATCTTTTTTTTTTGACTGCCTAAAAGTAATTTTTTTAAATTTTTTTATTTTAATTTCTTACAAAAAAAATTACACCAAAAATTTCATTATTATTTTATTATTAAATTAAGACAAATAATATTAGAAAATTAAGTTATATTTAAAAAAATTTGATTGATTTTGTAACTTACAGAAACATCAGGTTACAAATTACAAATGACATCATCAACATCATTCACCTTGTCCCTTACTATCAACAACCTAGTTGATAATTTATCATATGAACCAATTAATTTAACTTTTAAACTTTTATTTTTCCACTGAATTCCAGAGAAAGTTAAAACTCATTCCTTAATTTCATCACCAGGTCCAATTTATCAATAAAAATTGTATCTTCTCAAAAAGATGAACCTGGACAAAATGAGAACACAAGTTCTAATTTTATTAAAGTAAGAACAAATATGGATTCTAAATTTAAAAAATTTATAAAAATAAAATATTGTAAAAAAATTTTAAAAATCCTTTTGATTTCTAAACAAAATCATTAAAAAATTTTTTAAAGTTTTTTAGAAAAATAAAAACCTTTATTTATAGTACGTAGATTTTTAGAGGAAAAATAAGTTTTTAGTATTTAAAAACATTATTTTATCCTGGTGATCTTTATTATTTTTAAAGTATTTTACTTTTTATTTTGTTTATTACTTTACTTAAATATCAATGTTTTGAAATTCTCTCCATGTTTTCCAGACTCACAGAATTTACAGTTTTTAAAATCTTTTGTCTATTACATTTTTCATGTCACTTATACATTCTTATACACTTATATATTGTTTTTATCTCCCTTTTTATCTCCTTTCTTTACTTTCAAATTTACTCCCATGTCTCCCTTCTTTACTTCCAAATTTACTAGTGGTTTCTTGCAGTTAAGTTATAAATAAAATCGTTAAAAATCTGTGTACATATATATACATAGATTGGGTGACTTTTCAAAATCCTGGATTCACCATTGGTTACAGAAATAATTTTTTAATAAACTTAACAATTAGATCTTACTGGTTCAGGATAAAATACAGCAAAGATATTTTCTGTTTGATTTTGAAACAAGATAAAAACATAAAAAATGATTTGACTTTTAAAAATGTTAAATCACTAACTACATTGTTTGGAGACAAAACTACAATTTACCACAATATTGATATATTTAAAAAGTTTGAGTAAGCAAAGCAAGTTATCTAAAGTTAGCATTTAAGTCATTAAAACTGGCATTCAAGTTTGTTCTACATGATAAAAAGATAACTAAAACAAATTACCTAAAGTTTGTACCATCATGAAACAAGATGCAGTCATAAACAGGACCACAGTACTCATATTTTTGTTCTAGCAGATTTAAACATTCAATGGCTTGAACTAAATTACTGTGCTCCAGCTTTTCTTTCTAAAATAGATAAAAATAAAAACAAACAATAAAAAATGAGTTTTCAAATATGAAACATAAAAATTAAAAATTTATACATAAAAATTTAAAATTTATATTTAAGACATAAAAACCAAAGCATATTACCTCTGTGTATGGATTAGGGCATACTTTTTCGAATTCACTTAAATGCTTTGCTGCTTCAGCTAACTTGAATTTGTGAAAAGGATCCCATTCTTTTTCTTTCTTCTCGTTCTTTAATAAAAATACTTTAAATTGGATTTATTAACAACAATGTTTTAATTGTTATAATTGAATCAGTGTTTTTTAAAAAAGGGCGGATATTTTCATTAAATAACTTTAATAAAAAATTAATTAAAAAAAAAATTAATGAAAAGATATAAAACTTTTGCATTTAAATACCAATATAATTTAAAAAAACTTGTATTTTGTCATGTTGAATAGTATTTTGTCACATTGGTAAATGTTTATGTTTTAATAACTGTTACTGTAAAGTAACTATTAACAATTTTATAATTATAAGTAAATGTCAAGGGAGTTTAACTTGGCATAAATAATATTTAGTGTAAAAAAAAAGAATGTATTCTAAATTCTCAAAAATTATTTCTAAAATAAAAATGCCATAATGCAACGCATGTAGATATCTGCAAAGAGTTAGGTATATAAATTAGTGACTATTCCGTAGATTTTTTTCTTATCATTTAGTTACTATTTTATATATTTATTAATTTATATAATTTTTATCAACAGAAATGAGCAAAACATATAAATATGTATGGGATTATTTAAAAAAAAAAAGAACATGATCCAGAATATGTTATATGTAACATTTGCAGCAAACAACTGTTATGCAAAAAATTTGTCAACTACTGGGCTACACTGGCATCTACAAGATGTCCATAAATTCCAAAGAAAAGAACCAGAAGTCGCTAGTACCTGTTCCACATCATCCCCATAGATATCTTGTCAACAAATGAAATTACGACTGAGTATTACTAATAATCAAACAATTTTATCATTCATAAAACAGACAACTATGGAAAAAACAATATCTATAATGGCACCTGTAGATAGATTCTCTTTTAACCAGACAGCTAATAGGGAATTTATAGTATGACTGCAAGAGGAATAAAGCTACCATACAACCCCCATGAAGTAGGACCTAATGGAACAACCCCCATAAAGTAGGACCTAATGGAACTTTATTATATTAGGAAAGAAGAGCTAGTGAAAAAAATAAGAAGAATTTTAAAGCAGAACAGAAAAAGTGTGTTTTAATGTTAAGTAAGTTAAGAGATTTTTAGGTGTTTTTTTCTTTGTAAATTCTAAAGATTTGTAAAATTTGGGTTTAATATATATTGAAGGTTGTACAGCAGAAAAGATTCTAGAAATATTAAAAGAAAAACTAAAGATTATTGGTCTGTACTTAGACAAAGATATTTTGCTGTTATGGGTGATGAAGTGTCTGTTATGCGAAAATTCAGGATATTGTCTCCTAATAGTAATGTACAGGAACAGGGAGTGCTGCAATTGAATACTTCAACTAAAGATACAATTGAAGGTATACGGAAAATTGTAAAGAAATTAAAAATATCTCCTATAAAAAATGATGTATTACATAGATATGTAACTGAGAAAAAACCTAATGAACTAGCTTGACTTTTGGATGGCAAAACAAAATGAAATACAAAAGAAATAATGATAAAACAATTTTTAAAAATAAAGTATGCCATTAAAAAAGCTTTAATTGAATTAAACTTAAATCATTTATGGAAAAATCATTATGTCAATATTGCAGAAACATTTTTAATTGTTTTAGTGCCAGTTAGTTTAACTGTTAAGAGTTTAAGCCGATTCCACACTACTAACTGCGGAAGGGTCTTTAAAATTTTTGTTTGGGAAGTTAAAAGAAGTTAATTTTAAAATAGGTCAAGAATTTCTACAGAAAATAAAAGAAATCATTATCAGAAAAAATAATAATATTGTATCTCTGTATTAATTTTTACAAAATCTAAGTTCTGACAACAAAGATGCTCTCGTTTCTTCTCTTGTTAAATCTGTACCAAAGAATTAAATTTATAAAACTGCAGAAGCCATACTAAACTGTACTCCAATTGCTTGAAAACAGAGAATGATGAGAACGACGATGATTTTGTTAATGCTGAGGTGGAATTAGAATGTAGTGATAAAGTACAGATATCTTTTTAAGAAAAATTAAACCCATCAATTGAAAATACTATTAAAAAATTAATACTGTGGATAGTATTAAAAAATTAATACTGTGGATAGTATTAAAAAATTAATACTGTGGATAGTATTAAAAAATTAATACTGTGGATAGTATTAAAAAATTAATACTGTGGATTAACAAAAGCACATGTAAAATAATAAGACAAGAATATCTTTCAAACAGCTGGTTCCAGAACAAAAAATTTAGAGCTTCTTAGGGATGCACTGTCAGCAATAAAACCTACATTAACGCAAAAAATTTTTAACTATTATTGAGTTTATTATTATTTATTATTTTTTTTTTCAAAAAATAAAAAATAAACACAATACTAGTTGAAATCAAGTACTTTTCCATTATTAAAAAAAATAACTTTAGCTTTAAAAAAGAAAAGACTTCAAAATGGCTGAAAAAGTAAAGACTTTAAAATGGCTGAAAACAAAAATAAAAATAATAAGTTTACTATATTCAATAAAATTTACTCGACTGCAAAGATGATAAGAAAGTAGAAATTGAATATATTAGTTTTGGTTTTATTTTCTGTACTCATTGTTCATTTCTTTTTTATATTTTGTCATCATATGTCAGTTATAGCTGAGTAAGTTTAAACTCTTATGTTACTTACTTATAATACTTTGTTTATAAGTTAATTTTTTTTTTTTGTTAATTATCTTGAAATTCCACAAGTTCCAAGTAGTGAGTTTAGGTATTTTACCTTACTTTTGTTTGGAGCAACTTTTATGGTAACTAATACTATTTATTTTAACTTGTAATAAAAATAAAAATTTCTTTTAGCTTTTTATAAACACATAGAAAAAGCATGTTAAATATATTCTTGCTAAAGAAGTATAGAAGATAAAGAAATAAAATAAAGATAAAGAAGTAAAAATGTGAAGGACTGGATCAACAGTCAATGTCAAATCTACAAATTGCCTTTATAATAAATGTTTGATTGAACAATAAATAACTAATATGTGAAATTAAAAATCAAGAGATGAACTCATTTAACATAAAAAATCCACTATTTTAAAATAACTAAAAATAGAGACAGTTTAAAAAAGGCTTGAAAAAAATAAATAAAATGCATTGGTTATAAAAGAAAATCTTAAAATCATAAAATGTATTGGTTATGTATAAAATGTAAAGGTATAAATTGTATTGGTTATAAAATCATAAAATGTATTGGTTAAAAATCATAAAATGTATTGGTTATAAAATCATAAAATGTATTGGTTATGTATAAAATGTAAAGGTATAAATTGTATTGGTTATAAAATCATAAAATGTATTGGTTAAAAATCATAAAATGTATTGGTTATAAAAGAAAATCTTACCTTAACCCTTTCTTTCAATGAAGTTGGAAATATAGAGAACAAGTTTTTTACACCAATGCGAAACTCTCCTGTTGGATTTATCCAGGTTTGAGGAATCTATTGAGATTAAAAAACAAATAATTAACAATTCAGAGTTTATAGTTCTATTAGGTGTGGCAAATTTCAAAATAAAAATTAATTTTTTTTTTTTTCAGAAATCTTACAAAAAATTAATCCAGATTATTTAACATGATATTGTCCTTTAATCATATGTATTTAACAAAATTATGATTTTTTTTTTTTTGCTTCATGTTTGTTGTAAAGTAACTTTTAAAATAGATTGTAACCTTTTATACAGGTCAAAAAAACTGTTTTATCTAAAAATAATTATTTACTAGTATTTTATATAAACTATAAATAAATAAAACTATTATAAAACTATAAATAAATAAAATTATTTAAAACAAATTGCTCTCATAAAGATACAACCCCTAACATTTGTTTTTAACTTTGCTGTCCGGAAGAGATTTTAAAGAAAAGGGAGGGATCTATTTTTTGCCGACTGAAGCCCAAAATATTTTTTGCTGACTAAGGTCTATAAAAAAAAAAAAAGTCTTTGTTAGCTGACATTTGCCGAGTAAATTTAGAAGGGAGATTAGATATCCACCTACACCCTCCCCCTCTCCAGGTAGCCTCTGATTACAGCCAATCAATATGAAGACTTATGGGGTATGCATTCTAAAACAACAATAAATAGCCATGTTTACCTTAAAATACTTAAATATTCTCAAACATCAAATACCCACAAATTTCAGCATGATGAAACATCATGTATCGGGTCAAGCTTGTAAGCAGTTGGTTACGTGAAATTGAGATTGAGATCATTGGTCTCTGGCCTGGTAATTCATCCAACCTCAATCCTATTGAAATTGCTGTAATCATCTTAAAAATGAAATCCCGAAATTGAGACCTTTATTTTCTGATGATCTATGAGAAAAAATTAAACCAGAAATATAAGGTCGGGTGAATAAAAAAAAGCAATTGCTTTTATTCAGCATTTTTGGAGTAGTTGTCAATTTGGAGTAATTTGAGTAAAATTGCTCAAATTTATATTCATGGATTTTAAATTATTTAAACTCGTTATTTTGAAGCATTCTAAAATTATGGCAATTTGAAATTTTTTTCATTAATTTTTATTTTTGGAGTAAATTGCTCATGCTGAGCAATTTACTTCAAAAACCCTGAGTAATTGCTCAGCTTAACGTGAATAAATATTTGAGTGAAATTGCTCAAATTTTTATTCTCATAAAGCTGAGCACTACAGCAAAAATGTTGATTAAAAGCAGTTGCTTTTTTTTATTCACCCGACCAATAAGTTGAACCTAAGTATAGATTCAACTTATGTTTCCTGAATGTTTCAGAAAGCTTATTCTCTATTCCTAATTATTGTAACTTTTAAAGATGTCACCGTAGCATTTATCAAGTTAAATTAGCAATTTGTTGATTTTTAAACTTTTGATAGCATATTGACAAGTTGCACATGGGTTATTCCAGATTCCAAACCTTCCTCAGTGACTGTATGATTTCTTGAAACTAATACCCTTTATAGGTTTTATGGAAAAAAAGATTTCCCAAAAATTTAAACTTATTATTTTGAAGCATTCTAAAATTAGGGCAATTTGAAAAATTCAATAGACTATTTCGAGCAATTTATTGTCTTTTTCAAAAATTCTTATTTTTAAATCCATATAAATAAAAAACTAATTATCTTATATAATTAAAAATCAATATGACCACTGTTATCTACCTCAGTATGACCACTGTTATCTACCTCAGTATGATCACTGTTATCTACCTCAACTTTCAAAAAAACAAAAATTTATTATTTTGGGCCATCTTGAACTTCAAAGTTACAAAAAAAAACATGTTTAAAAAAAATTTCAATACTAATAAAGCAAATAAAAGTAAAATACACAAGGAAATGTGAAAATTATGTTATTTTGTGAAAATATAAGTGGTAAGCATCATTCCTGATAAGTTTTGTAAAAATGGAATTAAAAATTATAGAAGTTAGATCCCCCTAAAAAAGTTTCTGGCTTTAAAACTTTAAAATTAGATCCATTTAAGAACTGAAAATTGAGCGGGTGTACAGTAAATTTAACACTTAAAACTTTTAGGATTGTATCTTTATTATAAGAAGAAGAAGAATCAATAAACAATGACTATTTGAAAAAATTGACAAAATTGATTTATTCTGTGAGGCCATTAAGGAAAAAATTACCAAATCAAACAGAAATGAAAAAATAAACCTATTAACTTTAACACCAAATAGTTGAACAATCCAACAAACAGCAAAATAGTTTTCTGTTTAAAAAGACCACAAACTAAAGGCATCTAAAGGTATCTTAGGAGAGTGTAAAAAAATTAATATAAAAATCAAGAATTTTTATGAGAGTGATGAATATCCTCAGATTTGTCCTGGTAAGAAAAAATTTGTTTCAAAACAACATATCCAAAAACAACTTATTATATAACTTGAAGATCTTAAAGACTTTTAAAATTTCTAAAAACAGGAGAGCAAATAGAGTTTTCACAGTTTTGCTAGCTTCATACAAAATGGTGTGTAAAATTAGATAGTGCAATTGGTGTGCATTCAGCTTGTGTCTGTTAAATACAGGGTGGCCCATAAGTCACTTTACATTTTAAAATTTAAATAACTTTTTCTTAAACGACTGTATTTAATTAATTCTTTTTTTATTACAAAGTTTAGAGTCTGTAAGTTAGTTCTGACTTAGTTACGAAAGATAATGTCTCTTAAATAGCCTCCGTTCTCGTCTTTACAAAGTCAAGCTCTTTTTAAGCTATTCTCCACAACACTTCTTAACATCTGAGGTTGTAGGGAAAGAATTTCCTGTCTTATGTTTGCCTTAAAATCTTGAATAGTTCAGGGCTTGTTTGCGTACACTTAGTCTTTAAGATATCCCCAAAGCCAAAAGTCTGTCAAATCAGAAGAACGTAGAGGCTATTCAAAGTCGGATTTAAGAGAGATTATCCGATCCTGAAACATTGCAGTTAACAACTGCATTGTAGCTTTAGCGGTATGTGCAGTTGCTCCATCTTGTTGCCACCAATACCCTGCTATGTTTGCTAACTAAGATTGAACAAAATTCGCTAACATGTCTTGATATTTCTCAGCAGTTACAGTCACAGCATTTTCATTTACATCTTCAAAGAAGAAGGGCCCAATAACCCTTTCTGATGTTACTCCACACCATGTTGTGACTTTAACCGGGTGTAATGGACTCGCATGAACTTGGTGTGGATTTTCGGTGCCCCAGAATCTGATATTTTGCTTATTCACATGTTCGTTCAAATGGAAATGAGCTTCATCTCCTATGATCAACTTGTGAATAAACTCATTGTTATTTCTTGCAGTTCTCTGAAACCTAACAGCATAATTTAGTCATTTCTGAAAATCCACCAGACGTTGTAAAGATTGCACTAATTGAATCTTGCAAGGGTACATGTGCAAGTCTATTTAAATGCGCTGCAGAGAACTCTGTGAGATGCCAAGTTCTTGAGAACGCCTTCAAGTGGATGTGGTTGGGTTCTCTTCAATGCTACGGCTCGCAGTATTAGTATTTTCACGTGTACGTACTAAACAACCTCATCCACTTCTAGTCCTATCACTTACAGAGCCATGCTCTTGAAAACGCGTCACTAAGTTCATTATTGCAGGCCTACTAGGGGGATGTCGAACATTAAAAGGGCGCATATACGATCTTTGCGTTGCAACAATTGACCATCCATTTTCAAATTAAAATTCAATTATCTTCACTCAATGTTCTGTTGTAAACTTATCCACACCAAAAATTTCCATATTTTTTAATTCTGAAAAGAGAAATAGAAATATATTAATAGAAAAAAAGTTATTTAATTTTTAAAATGTAAAGTGACTTATGGGCCACCCTGTAGACAAAAATACAAAAAAAGTTGATTACTTATGCAGTGTCCGGTAACATTAAGAACTTTTATCAAAAACAACATGTGATATTAAGAATCAAAGCTGTATGCTTTATAGTTGTGATAACTGCGCTGATATTGAGAAAATAAAACTGCATATAAGTAATATCTTCAATCAACATGATTTTGAATTTAAGGATATAGTGCTGTAAAAACAGTGGTTAAAAAAGGAGAAAACTATTAGTTTGGTAACTTTAGAACTTCTGTTATAAGTTATAAAATTTCCGCTTTATAAAATATAAAAATTGTCCTGCCAAATTTGACCTTATGTTATTACTTTAGAGATGGAGCAGCTAGCCAATACAAAAACTATAAAACTCTTAGCAATCTATGTAACTATTTTCACATAGTTTTCACAATGTATTATTCGATTTATGATTATAAAACCAAATTTTTTTTGTTTCACTTTTGAATAATTTGAATGAAAAAATTGAATGAAAACATCAACTTAAAAAATATTAAAATGAAAAGCTTAATTATACTAAAATTTTTAATAGTATGCTAGATCAAGAAACAATAAATTATAAAAAATGTGGTATCTAACTTGCTTTGATCTTACTCGTTTAGTCTATAGATTATAGACTTGTATGGTCTATAGGCATGTTTTTGTGCAAAAATCAAGTTTAAAGTTATGATGATAATGTTTAATTTATTAATTAGAACAATTCTATTTATTTACTTAGTTTTATTTTAAATGCGTTTTATATTATTAAAGAGAACCTTCACGACATGTTGTTTTCATATTAAAGGGAATGATAAAAAAAGTGTTTGGGCTAAATTTGTTTGATTAAAACAAAAGAATAAATGCAAACCAAGAAAAAAAAAATTTTATTTTAGTCGAAGCTCGCCTTCTCTGTTTTGTTGTAGGCCAAAATATCAGCATAATATACTCTGCAATCTACAGACTTGATATTTTATTCAAAGATATTAAAAAAAAAAAAAACCTAAAAGTTTCAGTACATGATTTCTTTGATTTTTTATATTTATCTAGAAGATCAATTATGTACCAACCAATTCAAGCATGTTACTATTGGAGTCTTTGCAAATCAAAGAATAATATCCGAAGAAGAAACAGCTGAATTCAAATTAGTCTC